TTATTAATATACCTTCCAGAGTAGAAACCTCTGTACATCAGTGTCTTGCCAGTGGCTAACTGTCAAGACACCTAGGAAAGCTAACTAAATGACTCTCTTCCCATGTGCTATGATCTATACAAGCATTTGTAGATATCAGCTGTCTTCCAGTTAAGTTCTATCTATATTGATTGCAAACCTAGAAGGTCTACAATGCTCCCACAAAGAGCTATGGTAGCGGCAGGACCCATGGGCACTACCCATGATCCCTTACCCCCAGAACAATACTTACTGTAATAAGTATCATGGTATTAGAGTCCTCAAACAACCTACAAAGAGCCTATAGCAAAAGGGCAACTGTAGGCATGATTAGTATAAAACCTTCCCAGATGTCTCCAGTACTATGCAGGACTACTCTGGGGACCCTTCCAGATAGCTCACACTAACTCTGTCAGTTTTGGTCCGTTTTACTCTGTTCTTTTTGTAGAAGGTACCTGACCTTCTCACCTTGGCCTTCTTGTATATCCTGCGAACAGCTTCTGGTTGAATAGACGGCAGCAATATATACAGTGTTATGGACATTTCTCCATTAACTCCATTTAACTAGTAAGACAACAACTTTACCACTTTTGACCCATGACACCTGGGGCGAACCCTGGGACCACAGGTACCTGTTAGGAATAATCCTGCCATGTTATAGCATGTTCAGAGTACTATAGCTCCTCCTGTAGTCTTCCAATCAGTGTGCAAGCAAGTGCCTATTGATTACAATTGCGTAACAAACAATCCTAACATTTTCCAGAATTCCTCTGAGAATATTTCCAATAGAAGGTTGGGTAATAGTATCCCAAATATAAGATAAGTATGTCCATAGTGGCATAAAACTGGTCTCTATAGTAGGGTAACGTGACTCTCTTAGATAGGATAAACTTACCTGGCCTTCTGACCTATTCTCAGGCTGGAGCAAACATAGCCACATTGCTTCTGCTACTTAGGTAGACCTATTCTTTAAGTACCTTCTGTTCTTTGGGATATCCTGACTATTGGATATCACTCAGACATGCACCAGCATGCCCACCTAGTCTACCATCTGACTCATTGATCTTATGTATAGGTGTAGACATAGGTTGCCATAGCTCTGTAACGTAGGGTTGTTATAGCTATGGAGACCAAAATTGCAAGTGGACTCAGAATGCCACAGACAAGATGGAAAAAAGTACAAAACCTGTCTCAATAGAGGGACATATTGTGCAAGACTATTGATAGCTAAAGAGCCAGATTTTAAGGCACAAAGAAGCCGCTTCAAGTTGGAAGAAGAGGTAAACTTAAAAAAACACCTTGTTGGTTTTTTCCCTAAGTATCACTGTAAACTAAATTTTATTAAGTACTATTAGGGGGCTGCAAAGTGCTATGCATGACAAAAATGCAGATACAATATCCGTGCATTACGTAAAATGATACCTGAATGCCTAAATTCAGTAAAACCCACGTTAATCTAGAAGTTCTAGAGATGTACTGAGAGAATGATGAGAGCATACTGTGAAGGTATTGCTTGTAGTATACCAGACTTTAGAGAGAAGGTTACCAAAATATATAGAAGTCATTGTAGAGTTTCAGACTCTCGAACTATTTTATATAATTAATATCTCTTACAATAGTTATACTTCTTCATAGTCAATCACTTATTATCTTGGTAATTATTTGCATAGCCACTGTTGCATTTGACTGTGCCACATAATTGACAGTCTTCCCTTCTTGAACCCATAGCTTTTTACTTAAATCTTCCTTATTAATAAAGCTTTGCTAAAAACTTACTAAGTAGAACTAGTATTATTCTATTATTAATACTAAGCTACTGTGACCTATGGACTTGACCTACTAGTTATTGATTGACTACTGCTTTGAACCTACTATCTAGGCAGTCCATAGTAGGACTTTATCATATTCACTTCTTAAGCCTCATCATTTTGTATTTATCACTATCTTTTCCTAAGTATTTTCTTTTATGGTACAAATTATTGTAATATACTCTTGTCATATTATATGACATATTATAATTCCTTATTTTTTATAATTAGTCTGCTCATGTATACTGCATTCTTATGCAAAGAATACAAAATTACACCAAATCTTAAGCTTTTAAAACAAGTATACTATTCTTTCCAATTACTATTATGAATTAAAAAACTATACTTATATTCTACATCACTTATCTAATATTTGGGCAGTTTTTTAAAATGATTTGAACTAGTATTGGGTAGGTTATACTCCCTTGAAACCAGACTTAAACAATATTTATACTTATTCCTTAATGTACTATATTCTATCTATCATAAAAGTAGTATACAAGTTGATCTACAACTTACAGAAACTACTATGCTAAGAAAGGCTCCAAGAGAAAGATAGGATAATACAGTCTTAAAAAAGTAACTGTTCAACTTAATATATTAAAAATACATAAATCTGTCTATGTCCTGTATGGTTAAAATCCCTAGTATTTCTTTAATAAAAAGATACTACAAACAACTTGAACAAAAGTATCAAAATAATACTTAGAACAATAAATCAAACAACTTGAGTGTCAAATAATACTCAAAACAACAAGTAAAACAAGTAGTAAGATAAAAAAACTAAAAGTAAAAGTAAGTATAAGAAATAGTTATCACTTACTTATTTTAATTGTAAAAATAATAAAAAATTATATAAATTTATTTTCTTAGCTACTTAATAGACTTAATATTATGTAATTATATTATAGTATGAGAGAAATAGATGGTACAAAGGAAATAAAAGATAAAAGTAGGTAGTATAGAAGGCCTTTACTATAATAACTATTTATACTAACTACTATCTATTTCAAATATTTAATTTGACTTAGACTCTAAATTTTAAACAGTAAAAATTTTATAAGATAAAATACATAATAATCAAGTATCTTACCTACTATTATTTGTAAAGTACAATTAATTTTTCTTTATTGTTAAAAGATCTATCTTCTATAGAATATATTTATATTTCATTTATAAGTTACAAATTTAATCTATTTAAAATCAATAATATGTAATTGAATACAGTTTTAATTGTTTTTTATACTATAGTAAGAGTTTTTTTTTTTTAATGAATATTCTTTAGAGTATGATACTTGCTACCCTTTTTCCTATTGCCTTAGTATCATAAATAATACTAAGGCTCTAATAATAATAATAATAATAATAATAATAATAATAATAAATCAGACTTGTGGATATAAATCAGATTATTGTGTGAATACTAATAGCTTTCAAGCTCATAGGATATTAACAACCGGCCTTAGGTAGGTGTCTCAAATATTTTTAAGTTTTGTGATCGGAACCCAGCAGTCACCCTGGCCAGTGTTCGGTTTTTAAGATACAAATTTTATATGTCCGTGCGGCAGTTTCGGTACGAGTACCGGTGGGACAACTTTTTCTCCCTCCAATGCCCTGGACATGGCATCAATGTCGTTCACACTGTGGGGCTTCTAAAGTACTGTTGAGGTATAGCCTCATGAATCCATCATGCTGGATACTTTTATCCCATTTTTCCAGCAAAGAGAAATCAGGAGGATTCATCCCATCTTCATCCTTCCAACACCCAGCGTTTTCTCAGACCCTTTTCTCTCCCGGTTGATGGGTGATGGGTCGTCTGCGCCCTCTCCAATGCTCCAGAAATCGATAACCCTGGAGCTTAATGGTTTGCACAGACCTCTATGTATCGTGCACACTGTTCTTTTATTTCCTTTTTCATTTCTTTTTTTCATTCGCCAAAGGCGATACTATCTCCTTGCCAAGAACTATTGAAAGGGGGGGGGGTGTTAGGCGACAACATTATGATAGCGTATCATCCCAATTCCCTTCATTCTCAGCCTTTCTACCTGTCCAACTTTGCTTTTCTAGAGCAAGATGTAGGAGTGATTTGAAACAAGTATCTCTCAACTGTTAAACTACAAGTACCGATGCTGGCGCAGTGAAGATGAATTAGACTAATTCTGTACTGGTAGTGAGGATCTCCGAAATCCCAAGGCATCGGGCACCCGTGAAGCTTCTGCATCATACCGGTTTTCTTTTCAACTTGGCAATGGTCACAGGGATGGGACCACACATCCTTTCGGTCAGAATTTCAGGCGAAGCCCTAGGATTAGTTGGTGGTAGTGGTGGTGACATTCAAGCTTGGGGAACAGAAGGAAACTTTGGAAAACCCATCTCCCCAGAAGGATCGTCGCGAGAGAGAAGGCTGGGGGCAGGCCACCCCAAGGGATATCCACCAGTCCCGTTCTTGCGCCACGTGCGCGTTACAAGGTTCAGATCGCTGAACTAAGCGAGCTTTGTTGTTGGGGTGTTACAGTAAGGGTGGGGATGAGAAAGGGAAAAAGCGACGAGGCGGAGGACCCAGATCCTGGCAGCTGGGAGGAAGGAAAAAAGAAAAGAGAGCGAGGTGATAGAACCCAAGAAGGCGGAGAAAGGGGAAAGGTGGGAGGGGAAGGGTGGAGCAAGAAGAGGGAGAGAAAAAGCGAAGACAAGAGGGATCATTTCTATGAAGCAATCGTTCCATCCCCCTGAAGAACACCAAGGCACTGAAAGATAACTCCTAGACTTTTTATTCCAGAGCTGTGTGGCTTACAACAGCTGGACAGAAGTGATCGAGGTCTTGCTTGACAGAGACCAAGTGGCTACGGCACAACCATCACCTTCACCAGGCACCGTACAACTCAGCACAGTTGCAGTACTATACAGTACTTAGCCGAAAGCCATCTCTCATCCGATACCAGTGTATGACTTGGGGGAGGTACATATGATACATGCCTTAGAGGGTACGCAGTGTACGTGCATGCAACATCTTCCCATTCATCAAGCAAATCTAGCCAATCACCCCTGGAACAAATCCTAAATCAACCGATCCAACACGAGAGCAAGACCACCTTTTTGGGGTTCAAAGAGCTGCAACACCCGTACCCCAGGGTTGTCGGTGCACACACACAAACAAAGGCTGTTCGCATCCCGATATCAGTAATCAGCGGCCGCAGAAACCCGGAGCTCTGAGACAAACTTGCTTGTTGAGCGTAATCTTGGGAAGACCTCGGCGGGCGGGCCAGCGTGATTCACCACTTTTGTCCGAAGCTCCCTGGCTGCTATTATATCCCCTCCCCACGCCCCATCACCGTCCCGTGCCTTGGGTCCTTTAACATCTGCGATCTGGAAGCAGTGGGAAGCAGGGCGATAGGAGGAAACAGTGCAGAAAAACATGCTGCCCGGCTGTCAACCGGCCTAACCCGTGCTCGTTACTGAGCGTTGTGCCGGCATCATACGCTAGGAGTGGAGGGGAACGCTAAAGGCTTAGAAACAATTTTGGTGGGGACCCTACCGGTTGAGGTTGTTGGAGCGCCATACCACAGCTCTCTCCTGTGCCTCCAGAGAGCTGTTGCTGCGCCCTGATTGCCCCACCAGTGAATCAGCAACAACATCGCGATCGTCATCGTCACCTTTCCATCAACCGTCACCTCCCTCAATATCTTTCTCCCATTCAGCTTCCGGGCCTCCTGGAAAGCTTCACATACCATACTCACACATTATTCGATTATTCCTCCTAGATAACAATCCCTTTATAGCCGCGTTGAAGAGGCGAATAGAATAGGTGAAATTACGGTTGTGTACCCGAGGTTTGACATTAATCCAATTCCTTCTGGGATTGATTTTGTTGTGTGGCCACCGCTCCTGAGTGAGAGAGGGGGAGAAAGAAAGAGAGAGAGGGAGAGGGAGAGGGAGAGAAGGAAGGAGATAGAGAGAGAGAAAGCTCACACTAACCCCCCCTTTGCTGCACTCCACCCCCTCCTTGTTTATTCCCCGCCAGTTCATCAGATTTGACCCGCGTGCGGAGGAAACCGAACACGAGCAGGTTGAATCAATCATCTTTCAGATCAAATTTCCTTTACTCTTTTCAAACATCTACTACCGATACATTCAATATACTCTTATCGCATTCTCCCTCCCTACTCTTCCTACATTCTCTCAATTTCTACCCAGCAGCTCGTCACTTGGGTGCCGTGCAATATCAGCCTTGTGAACCATCCTTATCCCAACTACATCATCTTTTCGCAGTCAACCCCCACCACTTCTCATAAAAATAAGGGAAAGGATCTGGTGGGTATTGGTGGTATAACAATGGGAACGAATATCACCCAGAAGCCGCCACAGCCGATACCCTCAGTTTCAGCCTCAACATCGACCCCGGCTTCTAATATAAGGATTGAACGGGTCCTGAACTCTTCCTCGACCACCAAACCATTCCTGCAGGCTACTTCTGCGCAGGATCACCTCCATTCCTCTACTCCTGCTTCTCCTCCTGCCACTACCACTATTACTACTGCTCCCCGCCACTTGCCTGCTTCATCTTCAGCATCTACCGGAGCTAATACAGCTGCCGCTCCCGCTATAGCCTCCGTTCATTCTCTGTTACATCCCGATAGCGCATCTTCTCCAATACAGCAACATCAACATCAACATCTTCAACAACAGCAGCTGCAACGCCAACCACACCTACCGGTAAAACAAGAGCACCAGGAGCAGCCGCTGCCGCTGCCCCAACTATCACAGCAGCCGCTGCTATTAGATAGTCCACCTTCGTCCTCGGATTCTTCTATGGCAACTGCTGTGGTGGCCCCCCAGCCTGCCCATGTAATGCAGCCTTTTACAAGACCAATCCGTTTTGTGGCAAACGATGGGCAGCCACATGCAAAGAGGAGAAGAATAAGTGCCGCGTATGTTCTCCTGATGCCCCTTTCAGTAGAATAGCGAAAGTTAAAAAGAAAAAAAAAACTCGCTCTTTTCCTTTCCATCTTCTTGTCTCGTCCGACGATACTACTTCCGCCTGCCATCCCACTTGTGGGATCCGGCGACCTGATATTACACTTGTACATTCCCTCGCAAATAACCATGTATCCATCCAACCTTTTGGTATATCACGATGTGTATATATGCTTGCTCCTTGCGTTACCTTATCAGGTCTCCTTTCCTCTACTTTTCTTGATTTTACTTTATTGACTTTTCTGTTGGGTTGCACGTTGAATGCTGACTTGTTTCTCTCCTCTTGACGGAAATTGCCATAAAGGTGCAAGACATGCCGCAAGAGGAAAACCCGCTGTAGCGGTGAGAAACCTATCTGTGAGACCTGTCGTCAAAACGGCCATTCGTGCCTAGGGTATTCCGACCCCACCAATTCCACGCCAGTATCATCAGCACACCAAACCCAGCGTCAACAAAGCCGGGCCCGCTCCGAATCTGCCCCCACCGTAGTCACCACACCCGCGGATAAACCGCTAAAAGAGTCATTATTCTCTCCAACCCCTTCTTCACCACATGATCGCCCCAGGAGGCATTCAGTACAGCAGCCCTTGCCGAGTGAACAACATGAGCTGCGAGGTACGGAATCGAGGGTAAGATCACAAAAGCGGAAATCAACCGACTACCATGATGCTGCCGGTAGAGGCCACGAATATGACACGGATAGTGGCAGAGTTGATGGTGGAAGTGGGGGCGAATTGACGGACGGGGGTCCTAGCCCTGTTTTGAGATGTTCGTATCATGTCTTCCTGCGCCCTGCTTTGCTCCCCTTTAGCCCTTTTTGTCTCCGTTTTATATACCCACGACCCTCCTTGCCTGCAAGTCTGTTTTGTTTTACTTTGTTTTATTTTGTTCTTGGAAGATATTAAGGTTAACCGTTTTTTTCAAAAAATATTATTTCACGGTATTCTATAGATCCTTCGCCTCCATCGCAAAGACTTGCACACCGCATGCCTTATTTCCGTTATTTCGGCCCCACGGCTATCGTGCCGGGATACAAACAAATGGTTGTCGAAGTCCACGATAGGAATAATATACCTCGACATTCCAGTCTCTCAATGAGTGCGAACTCCTCGGTGACGTCGCCAGCATCAACATTTGGGAGTCTTGGGAATCCAAACCCAACACCTACGGTTTCTTCTGGAACAAACAGTGTCCCAATGGAGGATATCCCTTTCTATGACCCTAGCGATCCTGCCCCAAATAACCCCTTGATCGCCCATCTTGTCGAAACGTTTTTTCTGCATTTGGGATGTAACTTCCCATTCTTAAGAAGAGAGGTTTTCACGAAAGATGTCGAGGAGAAACGGGTTGAAGGAATATTAGTTGATGCGGTCTGCGCCGTTGCTGCTAGGTTTTCGAACAACTTTTTATTGCAGTCACTCGTCCGGAACGGAGAAAAGGTACCACCAAGCGAGTATGGTACTGCGTTTGCTATTCGTGCAAAGAGTCAGGTAGTTGACACCTTCGCTTGCCCAAACCTTGCTTCAGTACAGGCTTGCATACTGCTAGCGTATGTGGAGTTTGGGAGCAACAGGGATAGTGGACTCTGGATGTTTCTAGGAATTGCGATTAGAATGGCGCAGGATTTGGGGTTACAGAAGCTGGAAGGTACCAGAGGCGATGCGGAAGGGGGGTGTGGAGCTAGACGTGTTAGGGGAAGCAGATCGCGCAGCGTAGAACAGAGCCCGAAGGCAGGTACGAGTGCTGGAAATGGCCATAGGGTGAAGCTCGAGTCAACGGGACGTTACGACGACGGGGCAGCTGGGAACCACGGGGAGTGCCTGGATGACGAGAATGTAAGGGAGGCTAAAGCTAGGGAGAGAGAGCGGACGGATACGTTTTGGGCTGTTTTCTTTCTTGACAGAGTTATTTCATCGGGCACAGGGAGGCCCGTAACAATACGCGACAAGGAGATTGAGATAGACTTTCCCCCCATCGAAGAGGTCGACCCCGAGCATGGATATCCACCACCTTTCCCTGCTCTGATCAGGATAATTCAACTATACGGAAGAATAACCGACCTGTTGAATAGTATAAAAGACGTTCATACTGTCACTCCAGATACCTTGCGGAGCCTTTCAGGCATGGAGGCGGATTTAACTAAGATCTATCAAAGGCTATCCCCAAGGCTTCATTTTGGTGTTGCTAATTTTCAACATTACGCTAGCACCAATCAGGGGGCAGTCTTTTTACTCCTTCATTTTTGGTTTCATACCTTAATTGTATTATTGCATCGTCCAACGCTTCTCATTGCCTTCGAAGGAAGCATACAGCAACTGTTCTCCAATAGTCGCGAGTTATCGATGTCATCAGCCAAGACAATTGCCGACATCTTGGCATTTGCGGAGTTGCTCGACTCCAAGGCAGTAAACGGCAACCCGTTTACCAGCCAGCCAATCTACATCGCGGCGTGCGCATTTTTACAGGAAAGTGCTGCACATTCTTCTTCAAATCCGACATCGAGATCCTCTTCACCGCCTCCTTCGGGATCCTTGCCGTCATTCAATGCCTTGACGCTTGGAAGCATGGCATCAGAGTCCAGCAGTAGTACCAGCAGGCCCCCAACAGCCGGTCGAGGTTCACCAGCCAGTAGCAGCGGGACTACTGTTGGCCCCGGGAATAACGGTATTACGGGTGGAGGAACAACCATCACCAGTGGAAGGGGAATGATTTCAAGTTTTGGGTCAAAGATGATGGAAGAGGGAACTCTAGTTCAGAAACTATCGACGAAGCATGCTTTGCTCGCCCAAGCAGCTCACCAGAATTACCAAAAATGCTACAAAGCGTTGAAAGCGATGGAGACTCATTGGGAGGGGGTGAAGTACATTTTGACGGTCATGGATCAAAAGGCAAAAGGGATCGTAGATCCCTTGCTCTACACGGTTGAGGAAATGGAAAGTGTCGATGTCCATAGGTGGGGAGCTGGGGTGTGGAACCGCTTGCGAAGCAATTTAGCCCCGGGTGTGGATCGAGTAAACGGAGCGGTCCATGAGAACATAATAAAACTAGAGGGAGGGCTGCCGCAATCTAGTCTCATGCCTCCGGTGGGTCAATTGGGTCTGGTGCCGGAACGTGTGCCATCACCGCTAACGAGCGGGACCCATGGTTACCATAGTCAAGGTTAGTTTCCAGTTTGGAACATTTCTGGGTGATTCTGATTTTTCCGAATGAACAGCCATTGGGTGGTCCCTAACTGGGACTACAAACTCTCCAAATTCAAACTTGACCTTTATGTTTCCTGCTAGCGGTGAGAGTGGTGTTTACTCAATACAACACCAACAGTACAACGGGGGCGCCTCGTCGCCACACGCCAACCATCAAGGCGGGATACAGCAAGCACAAGATCCACGAAACGGACTTATGACGTCTGGGATGCATCCGCCACTTCCACATGGATATGTTGGTGCGACACCGGCTTCAACCGCATCTCTAGCTCCATCCCCCCAATCCAAGTACTCCGTGGGAACATCGGCCCCAGCCGCAAGTGATGCCGAAATGCTTCTAGGGCTTAGCGTAGAGCAACAAAGGCAACAACAAAAGGCGACTAGCGTTCATCACAGCTCAATGGATGGGCTTATCATGGGAGAAGTTTATAACAACGACGAAGCTGGAAGCTCTCTGGGAGCATACAACGCGTATAATATCATGATTGAAAGCGAAGATATCAACATGAACAGTATGGGGGCCAACCAACTGTTTCCACTCTTGGAGTTCGTGCCGTATGATTCGTATCAGTACGGTACAGAGGCTGGGGATGGTCTAGTTAGTGACCACCACCATCAGCACCGTTGAACCTGGGAAGACTAGACGATGAGTGCAGGATTGCTTATTTACTTTACCACTTTTTTTTCTATCTTTATTTTAGCGATATTCCCATGTTTCTAGGTCATGGTATGATTTTTGTAATGGGTTTCATGGTTTCTCATCCTGCTGATGACACGGCGACGATCCCCGAGCATTAGTACTTTGTATCACCCCCATTCTTATTTTCCTTTCCCGTGGCGACTCTTTCCCTCCTTCCCAGGCCCATTTTTCTACCACGATGTCCCATGGAAAACGCCGACAAATGGATTTTCATTTACGGGGGTGTTTCTAGTGTCTTTTCGGTGCACCAGACAAAAATAAGGCAGGCAAACAAGGTGCTGCTGTTTGGAGTTGGATCTTCTCTTTTTCTATGCTGATTTATCAGCTGTTTTTTCCCAGTTCCTGGACGAGCACATGAAATGAAAATATTCCGAGGAGAAATCATTGCATCAACGAGGGAGGCTAGAAAGTGTACGGGGGTGTAATTATCTTTTTTTTTTTGGTTGCGCTTTTGATTGGTTCCACTTTTTTTTGGCGACTGTCTGGCGATTTTTTCATTTTGGAAGGGAAGGGCGTGTATAGGCTTTGCTTTTAATATACCTTCTGATACCATGCCGTATATATCGGTATAGTGCTATACAAATACGATACAAAGCATTCATCATCGCGCATACCAAACACCTTCGCAATTCACAAATTTCCCACGCTGCACTTCCCGCCTCTTATCCATTCATAAACTGGCCTGTTTACCAGCCCCTTACCCTACAAGCATAGCCCAGAAACGGGATTATCTTTCGACGATAGTGCGCACCTCCCAAAACCCCTTCATCACTACCAATGGAGCAACACTAACACTTGAGTACGGTACGTTAAGAGAGAAGATTCTCCAGCGTTGATTGCTTACCGCACTCTTCGCCCACCACAGCTGCCGCCTCCCCACCCTCCCCTCCCCTCTCCCTCTCTCCTATCTCCTCTCTCCTCTCCTCTCCTCTCTCCCCTCACCTCCCCAGATCCTCACCACCCACCCCAATCACCCCTATCACCAATCTCACCCCTCCAAAAAAACAAAAAAGGACACCACAACAGCTGATAAGCGAGAGGAAAAAAAAAAACCATTCGTACAAGTACTATATTTGCTTTTTTTCCAATCCCCAGGGTAAGTGGGTGGGTGGTACATTGTGCAAGAGCAATTACAGGTGAATCACGAAATTCCTGGGTTCAGTTTCGTTCGGGTGGGTTGCGTACTTGCGTGCGGGGGAAGGGATTGGGACCCTTTTGCTTTTTTCGTCCTGTTTTGCTTTTTTGCTTTTTCAAGGCTCCTTCTTGGAGTGTCGTACTCCAGTGTGATAGGAGGGGGGGAAGTCGGGGATGTGGGGGACTCCTGGTGGTGGCACTTGATTTTCTTGGGGGCCGGTGGTGCTGGTTCGGAACTGGTCCTCGATATGGTTGCAGGGTTGGTCCCCATTGGGGCGGTCTGGCGGTCTAGTAGGAGTGGGGAGTTGTATGGAATATGGGGTGGTTTTCGGGGTCATGGAGAGTCACTCGGTCCCGCGTGGGTTTGTGAGCCCTGCGCATAACGGTGTCGGCGAGTTAAGGGAGACTGGAGGTTTGGCCTGATACCGTCATATGCGAAGCGTCGGTCGGTTTTGCTGCTCTCATGCTTCGTGTTCTGGCGTGGTAGAACAGAATACGGTAGTATAGGGCGGCGTAGCCGTGTGTAACACGGGTATTGCGGCCTGTGGGAAAATCTGACGGGAGTGTCGGTAGGCAAATTAGGTCGGCAATTGACAGGTATCACATTGGTCGACGCAGGGGAGAAAGAAGTGGAATGCTCGAGGAAACGGAGACACTGGCCCCATAGTTCCGGCCCAGACCCTTTCCTGAGTCGCTAAGCCTTTTCCTCCGGACCGCATGGTTGACGTGCGGATTGCCCTTTCTTACCAGTTGAAACGGTATTTTATCCCCTCCCTGCTACCCGCCCGCCCGGCGCCCACTCGGTTATTAATCCTAGGAGAAAAACAATCAATGAAGAAGTGGACTTGAATTCGGAAGTTTTTCAGTAAGCCGCGTAGGTAGGGAACGGACGGGGTCCTTCCCGGAAGCCGGGTGGAATCGAAATCGAATCAATAGAAATTATCCCCATCTCCGCTCTCGGGCTGTCTGGCACCCACCCATCTAGTTACTAATCCTAGGGGGGGGCAATCAATGGAGATGTTAACTCGAATACGGAAGGTTTCCAGTAAGCCGCGTGGGTAAAGTACGGGGTCCTTCCCGAGAGTAAGGCGGAAATAGGCTTGATGGGAGGAGGAGTAGCGTTCCATCCGCGCAATTGGTGTCTGTGTACCACCCACACATATACTACTACCCCCCTGCACGAATTATTAGAGTTATATCCCGACCGCCCCCGGTATCCGGGCGCGCCTCACCATAGTTTAAGAGTGCTGACATTGCAGCGTGGAAACTCGCCCCCCAGTCCCTTCCTCGGAGATCTCGGGGCCCTTTGGGTGCCCTAATATTGTTTCCCCTGCCGGGCACCGAACATAAATGCCCGCCACAGAGTAATGGCATGCGCGTATCTGTAACCCTTTGCGGGTCTACTAGAGACAATCCGGTAGGCGTAGGCTGTGGAGTAGAGAAGTTAGTGATTTACTACTAAAAGAGGGTTCGCGGATGGGGGCTTGTTCCGTCACGTTAATTACATTCCAATAGCTCTCGAATGGCTGGGGATCTCCATAATATAGGACATTGGAGTTGCCTCTCCTAGCAAGGTCGAGTTTTCTTTTTTCTTTTCTCTCTTCTTTTCTTTTGTTCTCTTTTTGTTTGCCTCGGTGGAGGGTTTCATTGGTTTATTTTATTTTTTCCCCCTTCCGCTGTGCCTCTTCCCTTGGTTGATTCAAGGAGGGGGGGAATGCGTTAACGCGGCTCCCAAATATTTATTGTAACAAAGTTATGGGGGTCGCGCCTGATCTGGAAGGCGCGTGGCTGCCCTAAGAGTAGGAATCGCCGTGTGCTCGTACCGTACTTGTTAGAGTAGAGTATTTTGCCCAGCCACTCCGGAAACCGGATAACACATTGCAGTTGTCTTGGGTCTCGAGTGAGTTTTCTTTTTCTTTTTCTTTTTTCCTTTTTCCTTTTTCCTAGTTATTTCGCCATTTCTCGAATGACCGCTGGTGATTGTGTTTGAGAAATCGCGAAATGAACTGTAAGACTGTATCCCGAGCTAACAACGTATAGTGAGTGTATGGGCGCGATGTCCTGACCGTGTCCGGGACTAAGCTCCGTTGATATAGTTGATACGTATACGATGTATCTAATACGCTCACCCCGAGTACTTGTAGTACAGCTGTCGTACTATTAGAGTACCATTGCTGCCCATTATACGGCATAACCGGCAAGTGAGCGGATTTGTTAGCACATCATCGACAGGTTAAGCCCCCCCCCCCCCCCCCACCTAGTGCTAAAGATACACACCATAAAAATATTCCCCTGATGCAACCCTCCCAGGGCTTAATTCTTAGACCGCCCCCCCCCCCCTACTATCTATCATTTCCATTTGCATATATATCGAGTGATCATATGTGATTTCTGCAAGGAACAGTGTCATCGGTAAATGTTTTTTCCCCGCTCGTACGCCTTGCGCAAGCGGTGGAAAGCTGAGGTGCGAGGAGAAGGAAAAAAGGAATTTTTTTTATACCCATTACATTTCTCCTCATCTCCTGCCAAGACGGAGGAGGGAACATAAGGCGAAGTAGGTTTCAGGAGGGGGGAGGGAAAAATGTTAAAAGTGTAGGGAAAAGGAAGAAAGGAGACAATTGTTTATATAATCGCTCAGAACTTCCTTGCAGTTTGCAGCTGTGCTCGCTCAAGAATTTTATGCAGAGTAATCCTTTTGCAGGTCAGGCGGACCAGCGCAGTTAGTTTCTACAGCTGAATCCAGACCAACCGAACGGTGCGCTGTATCTTTGGAAGCCACCTCCGGCGAGGCCTGGGCAATTTCTGTCTTTTTTTTTTTTTGTATATTCTCAGAGGAGCTGAGAATAGGTGAGTGGCCCATCACCTTTTGCCGTGTTTTCTGCTGCCATTTCCGGGGAAGGAAATTCCAAAACTATAGAGTAGGCCGTTCGGTTACTGAGATTTCGCAATGACCATAGAAGTAGAAGTACCCAGAGATCACCTCCCTTTTTGCATTCCACTACCAAAAAATTGGTCCGCGAGTCCGTAGAGGCTGATCCCTGCGTGCCCATAAAGCGCTTTGCGAAGGAATATATATTTTTGTTTGCTGCCCCCGCCTCTGCTGGGATAAGCCTTATATTTTGGAATCCTTGTCTATCTCAGCAGGGAAGGTGGCCGACTGGTGATGAGAAAGCTTACCCGGAGATCATTTTCGGAGGCATCTGCACCCCGGATAACGAGGGGCCTGGGTAATTTCCGACCAAAAGTCTAAATTTTCTGCCCCTTCGATGCATCTGCTTGTCATCGATAGCGATATTTGTCTGGTCATTCGGTGGTGGGATATGTTTTGGGGGATGTGGTGCCCCCCCCGCACGAGCTGCGCAGTGCATGGTATGGGGCCCATTGCGAGGGGAGCGCAGTAAGATATCATTTTCCCGAAGAGGAGATTTGAAGATTTAATATAAGGCGAAAACTAGAAGCCATGCATGGCAGCGCTTCCGGGAACTGGGTGGGATTGGGCAGCTGCGGTTCTGCGGTTGATGCGATTACCGGTGAAGGAGATTTTTTGGAAACGGGACGGCAGGCAGTGAGTGATCTCGGGTTGATTACCCACCGCACCGGCATGCCTCGGGAATCATTATCCCGGAAGGCATTTACCGATGTGGGATACAAGTAGGTGGCATACCCAACCTTAAACGGGAGCGGTAAGGCAATGTGATTACCAAGATGACTAAGGCGGGCCGGAAATTGGTGTTGACGTGGTATCATATTAGTGGTAAGGTGACCCGCCGTGCATCACTCAATCTCACTCGCAGGAAACATGTAGGGGTGGGCTTGAACCACTGACCGCGATAGATAGATATATAGATAGATAGATATAGGCAGGTTTCATGCCCTGCGCCTAGTCCTAGGCGGAAGTAGCTTGCGGTGGGCTGCTCACTTTGTGAGCTCACGACACAGTATGATAGAACACCTGGAGAGCAGTCTTGCCAGCCGGGTTATTGCCTATTGGAATATCTCATCACAGGAGGACCACGCCACTTGGGCAGCAATGGGGTTCCGACAAATTCCCCCGCTTAGGAGTAGACATCTAAAGCCTCGGTCCTAACGGCCTTAGAGAATCTCACATCAGAAAAATCATGTCATGGGCAAGATGTCAGCCAAATCCATTATATCCCGACCTGAAGAACTAGAGTGGAATGAGCTAGAATGAGCAGGTCCCTACTGTAAGCAGTGATAGGAATGTAGACAAGAGAGGTCGTTGGAGCGTATTACCAATGGAACGCTATCTTTCTCACCTCTTTACCACGCTGTGGTAACGCGCTTCCCAGTCAACTTATAAGCAACACTTGCCTCTTCTTCACACTAACTTAATTCTTCGCTAATGCAATGATCCACCCGCGCTTGCACAGCCCCAGGCTGCTTCGGCACCTCGACTAAGACGGTTCCTGCAGATTATCTAATTCTACTCTTCTGGATGATCTACGGGGAAGGAAGGTCCTACAGGAGTCCTTAATAGGCTGAAAATTCCCGTCCCCCGCATAAGCGATCTCGGGCCGCTCATACCATTGACGCCCAGACTGCTAATCTGTACGCCATTTTTCAACCTCCAGTTTGTCATCCTTATTATGTTATGAACGCCGTTAGCCTAGACGAGGCACCATTGATAAGAGCGCTTGTGTGGGATAGTTTTGCATTTGTGCTCCCCAAGCACCATCCCAAGTCGCCATGGTCTCTGCATATGTATATGGTTCGCGAAGGAATGCATCTCATTCCCCGCATTTTGATTCGGAAAAGGGAGAAGAAGTAATTTGTTGGAATAGGGTTTCGAGATTGATCAGCTGACAATACTATTGGACCTGGAGTCTTGCGGAGCGGGGTCTAGAGTTAGTTTGACAAATAGACTCTGCCTTGGAAACGCCAATCGCTCAGGCAAAAAAGGGAGAGGGGGGAGGCGGGAGTAAAAAGTAAAAGAATTAACGAGCAGCGTGCCCAATTCCCTTGCAGAAAGAGGCCTCACGTGAACGACCCGGATTAGCGTTTCCATTCACATATCGACAACCTACCGTGCATATCCATATCTATGCCGCCGACGTGCATAGAAACTACTGTGTATCCTGATTCTCAGATCCGATCCCATTCTCAGGAAGCGCGGGGGGAAAAGCAAAAGGAACAGCTACGACGCACGCCGGGGGGTACATATGTCACACCGCGTCATGCCAATGCCATACGCACACAGACCGTAGGAATCTGATATGTCCGCGGGGGGGAACCTGTAGCCAACTAGCGAACTAGCTGGCCCCACGAGTACCTGAAACATACAGATACCCACATCCGATAAGTCCAGGGGTTATCCGCGGCTCCAATCACTTCCCGTTCGTCAAAAATCAAGCAAGGACACCAGTCTGCTGTTTCCGCCTTCTGCCCCCGCCCACCCACACTCCGGTTATGGCGAATATCACAGGAAAGAAATAGGCAAAAAACATCGCGAGTGACCTTCCGTGATTCATCCCTTAGGTCCCCATACATATAGACACACGCACGCGATACGCAATCCCATGTCTCAGGTTCCTCTTCCCCCGGCAGTCCGATGGAAGCACCAACCCCGCTCCACCTCGAGCCCCCACCAGCCATTCAGCCAGCCAATAAATTCCGACAACCTCCCCCCCCCCCCAACTGGCCAACCCATGTTATCTGGGAAGTGCAAAGAGACTTTCTCCCGTTAGCACAGCGTGGCGCACGCACAATCGACATAAGCGCGCGGCTAATTGACTGTTTCGTCACAATGGCCAGCAGGCTTGGGGTTCGATAGGAAACATAAATGCAAGGAACGCAAAAGTCTAACTTTACAAAGTGCACTTTTATTTTATTTTATTTCCTTTTTCCCATTTTTCCCTTGTTTTATTTTATTTTACTATTGATCCACCCATTCGTTTATTTCACCCGCAGCTCCGCCCCCCCCCGCTTTTCCAACGCCCTGAGGTTAAGTACGTTGGAGGGGGTATTCGAGAGGGGGAACGGAAGAGCATATCATGACTGACAAGGAGGGGAGGAAGGGCTCACTCTGAATTGAACCACACCTCACCTCACCTTACCGCTTTACACCCAGAACCGGGTCTTCCCCGCTCGGATTCCCCATGACGTTGCTGGGGCCTTCTGATCATCTACAGGGGTTTCTGATAACCCCCCACCTGCCCGAACCCCACCAATTAAACATATCTGATCACTCGGGCGCGCTCCATGCGCTGCATAAATGCTGTGCGAAACAATCATTGCACCGCTCAACAAGATTTGGGGAGATCAGTAGGGGCAGAAGGGAGGGGGGGGGGGGGGGGGGCGGAAGGAAAGTTGTTTTTTTTTCTTTTTTTTCTTTGCAGTTATCATACATAGAAAAACTCCTGCACAACCTTCTCCGTGCCCCCCTGGTCAGTCGCATTGTACTGTACGATCGCCATGTCAGATCACTACCAAGCACTACTGACCGCGAATATGATAACCCGACCCCTGACATTCCAATGGGGTCAATGCAGCGGGTGTACTACTCAGAATGCCTGCAAACCTGCGCTGCAATGTGGCATGGCAGACTGGGGGGGGGGAATGAGCGAGACGAACGAAGTGGTCCGATAGGAAAAAGCCGCGAGGGTGGGCCCGGGTGGGACTTTGAGCATAGTGGGTCGGCAGGTAGGCAGATATGGGTACGGGAGTATATAGATGCCCAACTATACGAACACGAGTGAGGGGCACACCAACCCGCGTGAAGATTAGAGGGGGGGGTTTTTTTCTTTTCTTTTTCATTTTTCATTTTTTGTTTGTGCTGAGATACGGCACGTATACAGATAAGGGCAAGAATTGTGATCATGGGCGGAAGGATGTCGGGGTATCCGGGGGTTCTTCCCCGCGCCCCTCCCCCCCTTCCCCCCAAACTCTCTCCGCCAAAAAGAGTAAGTTTACTTGTCAGGTTTGGCTTAGTTCTTTCTTCATTTTCTTTTTTTCGTCCTCGTTCCTCCCCAAAACTGATACCGGAACTTTTTTACTCCGTTGCACTTTGGGTATTCGACGATAACCGAGAAACCGTGGGGTTGGTGGAGCTAGTTGTGGTGGTAAAGGAGGGTGAGGCGATACGGTACGAGAATTGAGTTGAAAAGAGGGTAGAGAGCAGATGAATCATATCAAAAGAAAATCTTTAAGGTCCCCCTTCCCGGGCTCAGTCCAAGAAATCATTATTTTTCAATCCTAGTCTTAGTAAAAAAAAAAGAAAAAAGGAAAACAATTACAGGTTCCTAATTCTGCTCAACCGTACTATACTGCACAGTATTGCACAGAGCCATGCATCAGCTCTGTCCAAAACCCCCATTTTTTTCTAATAAAATGGTAGGCTAATTCGATAACTTTGTTAGCAGTGCACGTCGCGCAGACAATCGCGAGAACAGGAATCAAGTCGAGGAATCGTGCACGAGAGAGCAACGACCAATAATCTTTTTTTGCGCAATCCGGGTTGACCCCATTTGTCTCCTGTGAGTGCCCGACATCGCTCAAGAGGATAAATGAGTACTCCCTCATCAATCGGAGAAATCGTGAGGAGGAGGGGGTACAGTGGAATCACAGGTGTATCAGCGGGGTATGCATCCGGTTAGTTGTATCGGAGGGAGTGTTTTTTCCTTCTTCTTCTTCTCCTCTTTCACTTATTCGTTTATAATGTTAGTTTTCTGTTATTGTTGCTTGTGGCTGGTAAGTACCGTGCCGTAGAGTAAGGCATTTACCAAATTTCCCCTCGCTCACGCGCTCACTCATCCCACCGGGGTAGCGGGGAATGCAGAGTAAGACGGGAGGTAGTGGTGATAATGGATAAAGAAAACAAACCCCGATCCACATGTCCACTTTTGAGACAAATGGGACTAAAGATAATACTCCGTGAACACTAGCAAGGGACACGTTAAAAACAGAATACCAGAAAGCATGCACCAGGGTTCGCTCCCGGAAGTGGCCCGTGCAGATTCTCTCCAGGCCTGTCCTCCCTCTCTCCCTCCGCACGAGGCATCATATCATAGCTCAATCTTGTCACAGCCCTAAAGGCTACCGGTAAGTCAACCCCCCCCCCCCCCGCCTTCCCTCTCCCGCAACGATCTACAATGTACATGCGCACCTCCTCACTGTACTCGAGTACCTCACGCTCACACCTATTCATTCTCTTACCGTACTTCTCTTCCTCATCTTACAATTACCGGCACTATACCTCCACTGCCCTCTTCCCCCCTTGCCCACCCAAGGCACGAGGGCCAAAGGAGAGGAGAAAGTAGGGAAGAGAAAGAAAGAAGCAAAAAAAAAAGAGAAGGAATCGAGATAGATCGGGGAAACCAGCTGGGAAAGGGGTAGTAATACCAATACCAACCATACGATACTAAAACGACCATGTGCCGATTTACATGGCATGGCGTTGACCTCGCACATGGTTCTTACTCACTTACTGGCACTGTACGGCACTCCACGTTACTCTGTAATTTTTAATCCCCTCCCCTCCAATTTTTCCTGAATTTCTTCAATCTTCATCACATTTTTCTAATTTTTTTTCCCCCCAGCAGACTGAGCATCTTCGAGCAAGCCGCAGGGACGGAACGGGGGAGCGAATGCGAAATTCCACATACGTGTCATGGCCGTAGAGGCGACATGTACACAGTGTACAGCACAGCACAGTAAGCCCGGAGGGCTTGTGTACCGCACGAGTCATGGGGGCTCACTCGCTTACTTTTTTTTTTCTTCTTGCCCTCGCTAGATAGGCCTTGGCTAAATTTATTGTAGGTGTATCAGTTGTTGCTGGAGTCCAGTGTTGCCTACAAGCGAGAGAAAGAATAGCCGCGATACAAGTACCGGGCATATTTACTTTCACCCATGCCTCGCTTGAGCAAATATTACGTAAAGTTCTCGGGACTACGATAGAACAGGTTTATCATGCTTGGGATTAGGGGTTCGTTATCTACCCTAAATCTAGATGCAGTTACCGCCGAGGTTTATGCTAGAGGTAGTGAAAGTTGTAGAGCAAGAAGAAACGAGGAAGAAAGGAGACATGAGAAAGGACATAAACCATTTTTTTCTATACACAAGAACTAGTCGAAAGAAACTAGGTACTCGGGTAGCGAGCCACAAGCTAAAATTAAGTCCGAGAATCCCATATGGAGGGATGTGAAACAAGAACAAATGTGCGAATGGCTTTAGCCAACTCAGTTCTTAAGTGTGGCCTCGATATAGAACGATAATGACCAAGAGCCTCGTCCCACAGACTCTTGTTTGTTTGTTTATTTGTTTTTGGTGAAAGAAACAAATAAAAAAACCCAGACGCCGCCCGTAATCCCAGGAAATTATACTAAGTTTGGTTATAACTGCGCCATAGTTCATGAAAGATCGAAACTGTGCTACTCCACCCTCGATATCTCCCCATTACCCACACCATCCACACTATCCGTCACCCCATTCACTGGGCCGTTCACCACATCATTGGCCATACCATTTACGAGCCCTTTCGATTTCGATCCATCCTTTTTGCCCTCGGGTATTGGAGGGGACTTGGCGGTATCCCCTGTGGCGTCGCTAGATTGGGGCTTCTCGGCAGCTGCAGGGTTGGTGATACTTGTTTTCGCGATCTCGTTTCCGTCACCGATATTCAGCTTTGCAGCAGCCCTTAGTATTTGTGCAAAGAATGTCTTTAACACCATCTCGATATCCAAATTCTGTTTGTCTGTCTGCAAGCCGCTGCCTTCTGAGACCATGCCCTGGAACCCCATGTGTCTGGGTGGAGCAACAGATGGGACGCTATTGACGGTAACAGAGAGTGGCCCATTCCCCTCGACCTCATTGGCTTTAGCAACATTCTTTGCGACCTTTTTCCTATCACCTTTGGCTCTAGACCCACAACCGCCCTTGGAATCAGTCGTTGCGGCAATCTTACCATCCAGCCACGCAGGGAGCTGTTCCAAAGCAAATCTAGGCGCTCGCTTGTAGGACATAAGAAACCCTTGGATCTCCGCTGGGGTGAACTTGTTTTCCGGTATCATCTCCGCGAATTTCTCAGAAAGCTGGTGAATGGTCGACCTGTACTGTTCCTCTCTTGCCCCACTGCCCTCCTCTGTTGGCGACAGCAATGGCTCGTCCTCCCCGCCAAAGACTTCCTCCTCCTCTTCAACAGTTGCCGAATCGATCCCATCAACGCTAGAGTAAAGCTCCCTAAATATCTCTGCTAATGTAGCCTTGCAAGCGTAGCCAAATTCAATTTGCATGTCGACTCTGCCTGGGCGAATGAGGGCTGGGTCAAGCCGCTCTCTGTGGTTGGTAGTCATGATCAAAATCCTCCCTTCGTGACTTGCAACACCATCAATTGCGTTCAAGAGCCCTGAAAAACTAACAGACATTCTTGGTTGCCTTGAGGGAGCCGGTGGAAGGGAATTGTCGCCTCCAGATCTATTAGATTTCTTGTCCTTTCCGTCCTTTGCCTTGCTCTTCGAGGTTCGTGACTCGTCATCAGAGTTAGCCTCCTCGTCCTCCGAGGGGTCCCAATCGGAATCCTCGGCTAGGTCCTGTCTGCTAGTGCGTTGCACACCAGCACAGTCAATGTCCTCCAAAAGAACAATGCATTTCCGCGGTAGGCCAACGAAGAGCATGGTAAGTGTCTCATCCGTAAGACTTCCGGTAGACAAACTCAAGATATAAAGGGGAACTTTGAGTTCCCCAGCAAGAGCGAGGCTCAAACTTGTTTTCCCAGTACCAGGAGGCCCATAGAACAAATACCCACGGCGGTACGGCAAACCGCGTTGAGCATACCAGCGAGCAGTTACCGGGTTCAAATACTCTTTAACATCGCGAAGGAGATGAGATTTAGAGCCCTGAGGCATGATGACAGTAGAGATATCCCGGGAGGGTCGATGGCGGCCTTGGTCCCAGTTCTTCTGAGCGAACGGGGTAGGCGAAAGTGTATATACCATGGTCTTCCTTGACTGTGCCTGGAGGTACTCCTTCCGCGCTTCCGCGAGAAGCTCGCGAAGGAGGGTTGGCGAACGACCGATGGTGGTCAACACCTGTCAAACATATTAATGAGCTGAACAAGAGAATACGAAAGCGCGGGATGATAATTACTTACCATGGTTTCATCTGGAATATCGCCCGTGTAGTACGACAGATCCAATTTACGATTAATGATGATTAAATTTCTCTTGTACCAGAAGTGGAGAAACCCTATAGACATTCCGTTAGCAAAATATTAATCCGTTTTTTTTTTCTTTTTTTTCTTTCCAGAGATAAACCGAGTTCAGGCAGAAAGAAAACAAATACAACATCGGCCCCACATAGCATTGCCGGGGCCAAATTGACCATCCATGCTCTTGATGGCAGTACTTGTACATAGCAGCATTTTCTGATAGATAACTCAGCTGAGCGGAAGGGAGGGGATGGGGGTCGCCAGGTGGGGAGAACAGGGGGAGAAGAAATGTAGTGCAGAGTAGACTAAGACCGCAATCGTCTCATGACATCTCTCCGGAACCCCGGTTACGGCACCAACGCTACAATAGTACTCGTCCTGGGCAAGAAGCACCCTAACATTGAGGGCATAATTTTGCTTGCCTGCACAGATACGCACGGATTATTGGCAATATATTTTTCTAACCCCTGTGTTCGGATACTTCTTGCCCGCGACGAGTAGGAAAACGCCCCAGCTAGGAATGGAAAAGAAAGGTGGAAAGGAGAAGTAACATGATTTGAGCATATGATCTGCACTAGAGGGGAATTGTTTGCCCAAGTCGCATCACTAATCCAAGCGAATAGTGTGCACAACGCCTTGGTCGGGCTGACAGCATTTCCAGGAGAGGGGTGGGAAATAACGCTTGTAGGAAAAGTAAAGAAGATCATTTCACGTACCGGGAGCAGGTGTATACTTGAGCTTTGGGCCCAGTCTATCCTCTTCCGCACTTCCACCGCCTTCGTCACCACCATCAACTTCCTCGTCGTCGTCGTCCTCATTTCTGCTCGCGCCGTCCCCAAACGGACCGTACGAGCTGTACCTTCGAACAGCGTGGCTCATGGGGTTCTTCCTACTAGTGACACAGAAAAGCCGGCAATCTGTAGAAATACGATTGACTGCCAGCCAACGCATGACATACAGATAGGTTACATCTGATGAGTGGATGGTTGCCGAAGAAACCAGGTTGGCTGATATGAAACGGGTGAGGGTCGTCAGGGAAGAGATGGAGTACGTAAAAAAGGAAAAAAGAGACGTCAGGAGGGTGAGTGACATTCCCAGAGTGACTGTAGCGGGTAAGAGACAAATTAGAAATAAGATTATCAAAAACGAGAAAGAAATACGGTGTGAGACAATCAGAGCAACTAAGACACAAAGCCAGCCAACCATTGGGGGGGCAGAGGCAAGCGTGGGAACGGCTCCACAGCCTCAATCCCCTGAGTAAGCAGCTAAAGGCTACAAGTAGGTAAAGCTTTGGCCAACCAGCGAGTGTAGCAGTGGACCTCACTCCAACCACACGAGTTCAGGCAGCGGGGAACTCCGCACAGCTACCCAAGGGTGAGGATCCCCGGGAAAAAAAGGTATCATAGAGCCAAAAGCCACACCGAACGATAGCCCAGTGATATGGAGGGAACGTGAAGAAATGAAATCGTCAAAGACCTGGGAATAAAGTGAAAGGTAAACTTGCCTAACAAACTTGTATCCATCCCGAGCTTGAGGAAAAGCTTCTGTACCACATCAAACCCTGGAATAGCGGTGATATCAAACAGACTGCCTCCGGGAGCAGTGGACCCCAAGACGCGCGCGGTTGCACTGAGGTTTTCCATCTCGGCTATCGAAGCTGCCGTTCAAGCAGCTAAAAGGCAGACAAACAGTTTGTATTATTCCTTCAACGTATGCCGAGGCCCAGAAATTTTTAGAGCCGGAGCAATCGCGGAAATTATCCAGATGGAGTCAAAGTATGTCCTCCTGAATTCAAAGAGAGCGACGGGCCGACGACCAGTGAGCAGTGAGGGGAAGGTAGCGTATAACGATGCCTGGAGGAGCAAGCGAGACGGCCTCAATGCTGAGGAATTGGAGTGAAATCTGGATGCTTCCGGGGGGGAGCGCTCTCTTTATCACTAAAATCCCTGCGGGCTGGAGGGAAGGTCAAGAGGCATCAGGTAGAGAGGGGAGGGGGGCTCCGGAGCCGCAACCTACGAGCGCTAGCCCTACCTACACACACGGCAATACAGATGGAGGAGGGGGCACTTGATTCTACCTCGTGTGTGCGAGTACTCGTACAAGGTACATTACGCACAGTATTTGTACTTTGTATACCACTCGTGTACTCGAGATGGGCACGGGCGCACACACTAACACCACATGCAGACTCGCCCACCCACCCACATAGTCTATACCCAGTCCGAGTGGAGAGGAGACGGATTGGTAGAGCAAGAGGTTAGTTACCACTGCTCACCAATAGAAGGGCACTGCGGTTCCAACCAGGGGCCACCAGCCACCGCAATACCAATAGCACCCGGCGGCCTACGGCGGAAGCGCCCCTCAGCACTCTCCCCCCTCCTCTCCTGTGCCCTCACGGAGCTGAGGTTGAGGGTAACTAAGGTTCAACACTACCCCAGTTACGTGGACCAGTACAGTACATCCTCCGTCCGAGACTATCTCCAAACATCGACGGGTAATTTAGTGCATTGTCTCGTCCTGACCGATATTGTTTGTCTGAGTTGTCTCGCAACTCCTGGCTGATGGGTCCACCTAGATCGATGGCGACAGTCCCACATTGCCTGCAAGTACTCCTCGCTGCATCTCGCCAGGCCTCTTCGCATTGCTTCGGGGTGGCACAGGTTCAACAGAAAGGAAGGAGGCACTCTATTGTATGTTTCCTAAAGGATGCGAAGGGCAGTCCAAATCTTCCCGGGTTTATTTTTTCAGAGTTTGATTGCGCAATGGCGTTCATCGAGGGCCGCGGCTGTACTGAAAGCTTCGGTCCGGAGAGTCGTGTACGGCGCCGGAATCCTGTGAATCCCCAAATTCGGTGGTCCGCCAAATGCTAATCAAACAGGGCTCTGAAAAAGAGAGGAAATAGAAAAAAAAAAAAAAAAAAAAAGAAGGAATCACAACCCACGATATTATCGGTATCACACATACCCAGGCACCGGTATTCCCAAACATACAAGGGCATGACAACGCGGATCTGCAATTTTGAGGGCAGGCCAAGGGTGCCGGCCCATCGCTAAAACTTGGTCACACAGCAGCCTCTTTCCTTTTTCTTCCTTTTTTCCTCCCTTTTCCCCTTTCAATTCCTCCATCATCCTTGTAGTCCGGGTATGATACAGCGCTGGGTCTATCATAATTATCGTCCTACAAGCACAACAGCCACCAGCCCACCCACTCTACTCGAGTACTGTACTGTATGCATTCGACTTTGGCCATCTTATCATGCATAGAATGTCATGCCCTTAGCCACCGCCGGGCAGAGCACTGGGCAGAGCACTATAATCTTGACCTGTGGCCAAGCCCCGTGAGTACTAGTACACATCGGTAGAGCAAAGCAAACAGAGGAGAATATATCTTTTCCTTGTCTATTTTGCTTTTCATCACTTTGTCCCTTCCTCCCCCCCTTCGCTGATTCCCCGTCATCACCGTATTGCCATCCGGCTGTCGGGGTTCAACCGGATCCCATCTCTTCCTCCGCCTTATGTCTACACGACTCGCGTCGAAGCATGTGCCGCTCTCCCGGAGGAGAGAAGCAAAGTATCCAAACGCAGCATGCCATGCCATACTGATATGCTGTGATTTTTCGCGAGATCGCATCGCAATAAGGTTTCTATTTTCAGGCGTGTTGCAGCGTTTCTGCTAAGCCTTAACGGTGCTACATGCTCGAGTACTGGCGCGGGCGCAACCGATCAGGGGCAAGAAAGCTAGCCACATACAGTGCCGCAGCTGAATCGAATGTAGAATGACGGAATCCCTCCAGGTTGAGGGACGTTCCTGTGTTTTCTTTTTCCATAGATCAAAACTTTTGTGGCGAATCACTTTTTAAATAGATTTTCAGGAGAAGAACGAACTCTTCTTCAATTGCTACACAACAGGGAGATCTTCGTCACCATCTTGAGCGTTGGCAGACATAAATAGATCATTCCGGGGAAAACCAGCTATACCGGTATATCGTATTAGATTGGAGCTGAGTCTGGATATGGCTGTTTGTCTCCAGGCCGTGTGGCTATGTCTCCTTGACCTGCTCTACATTACCGGTACCTTTTATCGTATACGGATGCGGAATCCGGATCTGTCAGTTTTTGCCACGATTCTGACGATGTTCAGCACCATGAGTGCTACCGGTAGTGATCGGCCGCTGTCATCGTGGCGTGCCCGAGCTTTCCTCGTCCCCCGTAGCCCCAAATGCCGGTACCGCCGAATCCCCCCTTACTCCAAGCACTCATGCTGTATCAGGCCGCGAGACACCAACTACTGTAGCCAGGCAGGCTGGACCCTCTGGAGCCCGGGGTTGATGTCATGTCATGTTGTTCCCAACTGAGCCCCTCTGGGACTCGTCACTCCCGCGTGGGACAGCGATCGAAGGACCCCGATGGTGTTCGCCTGTGCTTGAGTATCTTAGTCGTCAAGCCCGATCACCCTATCCACGGTATCTGCTAGACAGTCCGAGCACATGCGGGAACCATCAAGGAGTGAAGACAGTCTCGAACATAGACCATAAATGAGCTATTGGTGCTGGGGAGAAGAAAACCAAAATATTGTCCATGGCTTTTAGCTTTTTTTCGGCATCTTGGTCCCTCCTCCCCCTCGCTCCCCTCACGCGCCAAGGTTTCGGGAAAAATATCGAATTTCTCCACAAAAAGCTGCCATACCGGTACCAGAACGTGCCCGGGTACAGAGGTTGGTGACGGGACGGACGAGTACCGAGACCATCAGGTCTCTTGCTCTTCCTGGCAAAAATATTTACTCTGTCCGTCCCACCACTAAGCTCCATACCTCCAAGTGTGGAAATACGGCAACCCAATAGACTTCCCCAACATACCCGTGGATCCCTCCGAGGTCTAGGGAGCGAGGGGGCGGTGCGAAAACCGAGAAGGGTTAACGAGATGTCGTTGGATTAGAGCCTCCGTCTCGCTCGCCCCCCCTTCTCCTCCGCATTTCCAAAAGCGCTATGCAGGGATAATTCACTTCACCAGGCCAGGTGTGTTGGGCCAGTCATTCTTCATCGATTTCGGCACATTGAGATTAGATGGCATCGCTTATCTTGCCAGGCGGCGACGCTGCGCGAGCATGGGGAGGGAGGAGTGGGGTGGAAAGTCAAAGTCAGAAAAAGTCCGTAGTCTATACGAGTACCGCACTCCATTATAGACAGTATATGCATAATACCAAAGTCCCCCCCCCTCTTTCTCAATCAGGATCACTTCTCTCGCCCCCTACCTCCTCCGGGGAACACGGATTCCCTTCCTGGATCGGGGATTTTGCCGGTCGAGGGCTTACTCCTGCCTACAGTCGGATGGATGTCACGGACATTGTGTCACAAGGTAGTGCGGGGGTGATGACCATATGTTTTGTTTTCCCATTCTCATTCACTGTTGTGTTTTCATCTAATATACACGTATGGTATCACCAGTACTACATAATAGCGGCTCACAAAGGGACTAATTCTTGTGTTTATTGTGGGACAGCAGATAAGACCTCACAATCACCTAGATGTGTAGTGTAGGACAGCATAGTACGAGTGCAGGAGAGCGGAGCAGAATATGCAACGGTAGGTAGGTAGGTAGGTAGAGGGGGAGAACGAACCTTTAGCTAACCTACGGTAATAGCCCCCTTTGTGCGCTCTTTATCCGCAAGGATCGGTTACCAGTGACACGTGCCCGTTATCGCCTCTTCAAAAAAGATTCCTCTCCATGACGACTACTTGAGTATGATACCTTGAGAATCCCTTCATATGATACCTCGAACATACTTCTGCCCTACCACACATACAATCAACCCACACTCCTCAGCAACCGTGCCTTCCCGGAGTGCACGCAGCACGTGGTAAAAAGTACTCTACAGGAAGGGACTACAATTATTTCTTCACCGCTGCTATCCCTCTTCCTTGCTGAAAAGCGTACTGAAACGGGACTAAGTTAGTGTATTGTATTTCTTGACCTTTGGCCCGATATAATAGGAAAATCAACCCAAAAAAATAAGAAAGCGGATAAACGGAAGGTTCCGGTACGATAGACATTGGTACCGGAGCCGTAGCCTGACCAGCACCTGCACGCCCAACGTGCTGTATTGCATTTAGGGTCTAAAATATTTCCCCTGTTAGTCCAGCCCTATCAGGTACGAATATTCCTACAGAACCATCTTATATTCTCTATTCTTCAATATTACTGTCCTACCTCTCCCTATAAAATATTTTGAAAACTCCTTTTTATCTCTTAGCTAACATTATACTAGGCTTTTTGCCTTTAGTTCTTCTAACTTCCTATTACAGTCTTTTCTCTCTAATCTACCATTCTCTCTACTCTCTTGTACTATTTTTTGAGATATTTTTATACCCGCTATTAGTTAGTCTTTTCTGGCAACTTAGAATCTACTACTAGTAATGGCTAGAGTATTATACTTCTGAGTCATATCCCTTCTGTATTGTGTATTATTTCTCTCTGCTCTACTATTTAACTTCACTGGCAGGCTATATTATCACATGCTTAACTATATTATAATATGATATGTGTTCCCCCCCCCTCCTTACTTACCGGTAGTAGATAACCACTGTACTAATTATTGCAGAAAATCTTCGCACAGTGAGCCAGGTTCCATAGAAAAGGGAGGCAGGGTTAGGGAAATTAGTTGTCAACCAATTAGAACATGAGAAAACCTGCAAGGTAGTCTCTCAATACATAATAGTTGGGAGATACGTTTTTGCGACGGCAGTTGTATGCCACCTAACTCAACCCCGCGACTCTCTTAACAAGCCATACTTAAGAGAAAACAAGTGGTAGGGGGAATTGGGGCAGGGGGGGTCAGAAGAAGAGAAAGCGGGGTTTGAACCTTGCGCTCTCCCCACTCAGGTTTTCTTTTTGCTGTCATTATTGAGCCTAAAAGTGCTGTCCCCCGGACACGAGGTGCAGGAGGGTATATGGGGTGACCAGCCACGGCGGTGCCGGTAGGTAGAGAGAGGTAGCGATGGTGAAGGCATGAAGGGATCGGAAGCCCTACGGTACTTTTGTTCTGTCCTGCTGGGGTGCACACCTGGCAGTTAGTAGTTGCGTTACTGTAACTATCATCCAATGTCACCTGTCATCGAGGTCCGTTACAATAACCATCATAACGCCTTTCGAAGCGACGAAGCAAAGGGCAAAAAAAAACAACAACATAAAAAAGGAGCATCGAATCGAATATATCAATGGATATTTCCGGAGCAGGAAAACGGCTATACTTGCCTCGTGACGAGAATCTCAATACCAAGTCCAACCTTATTTCCGTCCAAACTACCGTTCATTCATGCTTAACTTCACCGGCGCTCAACGATAGCGGCGAAATATTTCTGAGTTACTCCGTGATTACCAATTTCCCTCGGGGGATCGGCGATTCTTGCTTCTAGCCCACCCCCCCCCCCCCCCTACCCCGTGTACTATAGTTGTAGGAGGACCCCACGGGAACACTACATGGGTTACTTGTGGTATGATAGACTGCAGTTTGTGCGTACATACTTGTACATACACACATACATACCCGCAAGCATGAAGGCAAATCGGCGTTCTCGGATGGATTTCTCTGCGGATTGATCCATGAACAAGGCGGTGGGACAAACCGGTCTTCATGTGGGGGGTCGCTGCTCACTACTGCAAGGAAATTTCCCCCTTGTCATGCATGGGCCTCGCCCTGGAGATCCGTTTGGTTATGATATGATACCTCAGTTCTATGGACTTTGCTTGCCTAGGCCTCGGTGCCTAGCGGTATTACAAGTACTTGTATAGGATTGATATCCACACAATATAATGCTTTACTGTACTGCTACTTTTTTGGGTTATAATAAGGGGTTAGAGGTCTTGGTGGGTGGGTTTGTGGCTTCGTTTCCGCGTGATGATTGGCGTTTCGATCACGGCTGTTCGGTACTGTGTACTGTACTGTACTGTACTCGAGTACAAGTAAATTATCATTGACGACACCTTGTCACTTCCTGATTCCTCAGGTTCGCGTTCAGTGCCTTACCGGTCAGTGGTGGACAATCCTACCGGTATTCGCTCATGATGTACGGTGCATTATGCGATAATCCCTTACCAAACCCCTTACTTAACCTCCTACTGTACCGCGTTCTCAGGGAAGCCGAGGTTTCCTTCATGTGGCAATATCATCATAAACCTTGTATAAAATGACCTTCAATAGTTTCCCAAGTTGCGCGGTAACTTGAGCCTTATAAGGCCGAGGAAAAAAAAGTAAGACATATTATCTTACCGGCAATTAACACCCCCCCCCGCGCCAACCGACGGATATGCGTTAAAAAACAAATTCCTACCACTACGGGGGGGTACCTAAACCCCCCGTTGAGGAAGCTGCCGTGACAACTTGTACTAGTACTACCGGTAGTACGTACAGCACATTGAGCACAGTTCACCCGACCTTCTTTCTCGGTTCCGCCCGGGGAGACATAGCACGCGTTACCCAGGCCCACACAGACGCGAGTGAAGCGACTGTGCCCCATCGCACTACCGTATCATCACCAGCCTCCACCATCACCAGCCTCCACCACCAAAGCCAAAACTCCGTCGCATCACAGAGGCCAGGAGAAAAAAACAAAAAACGGTGAGTCGAACCCAGACCAGCTTCCAAAAAGAGAGAAAGCCAAAAAAGCCCTCAAAAAAGGAACAGATGGGGAAGTGGAACAGGACATATCATGCAGAGCCGCATGCCATCTTTCTGGGGGGTTGGGTATCGTACTCGCTCGTACATGGTTATTTCGGGGGAAGAGGAGGGTAAGGATTCAACCTCTACTCGAGTATTTGATTTTCAATCAATCCCGGGATACGCTGTTCTCTCATCCCTGACTCGAATATATTTTCCCTCCCAGAATTCCTTGGAGATCACCCTTGATCCCGGGTCGGTGGTTGGCTGTACTTGCACGAGTGCTAGTACAGTAAGGTGCTATCAGCTAGTTGGAATAAATTATGATCATTTTTTTGTGCATGTGTGGGTCGTGAGGTCAAGCGGGGTGGTAGGGAAGGGAATAAGTGGGAGAAAAAAAGAAAAAGAGAGTGGAGCTAGTACTGTACTCGAGTATGGCCTGCATGCAGCGCTCTGACAATTGTCACTTTTCGTACTTTTTTTTTTGTTTTTGCTTTTTTGGTTCGTTTATTTGCTGAGCCTCAAATTTTCAGTTATCCTATCTGTTTACCCTCACGGAAAGACGTTCGTAATCCTCTTTCGCCAAGCAGAGAGAGGGAATAAAAAGAAGGGAGAGGCACGGCTCGAGTGAGTGATCTCCTGTTCCATTTCCGCTTCGCTTGCCCTGTGCCGGTGATCTTGTCCGGGCAGGAGGCGTATCGGTATTGTAGTATCTGGTAGCTTGGGGTGGGAAGTCTCTTGACGTGTCTTACCTAGGATGTCTCTTCTCTATTTCTCATACTACCGTAGTGAACCTTGACTGGGGGGGAGGGGGGGCTTCTCCCTCATCCTGTTATGATGTGGCATTCTGACTTGCACATATGTTTGTAGTTGAGACGCCATGAGAGGTGGAGTTCGAGATCGCTCTGCAAGGCTTGGGGTAAAGTTTCACTTCACTACTGAAGTTGATATAGGAGAGCTAAAATGAGGTATTAGTGAAAGCACACTTCATCCACTAGGAACGTTGGTATACGGAGCTCGGCACGCAATGGTAGCTTGTGTCTGGCTGGGGAGTAGACCACTGTAGTACCACTTTCTACTCCCGAGTTCCTATTTAATAATCGCCGATCCTGTTGGCCTTACGTTGAGGGATGAGCGCTTTGACGGAGGTGGAAGTCTCCGCGTGGAAGAGCCTGAGAATGGTACTCGTACAGTAACAGCGCTGCAGTTCCGATGCCGTACTGGTAAAGAAAAGAGGAAGGAAGAGCCTCCCGAGTTCGATATGGGATAGTTACACCAGCACCCACCATCCATCTGCGCGCAGAGCCTCCCCGACCCCAACTGTAAGTAGAATGCGGGCCCTGCCTTATTAACCTTTCTGTCCCTACCCATTCCAAAGGCGTCGGGAAATCTTGGCACGGGTTAGGGCTGGGGAGCGCTGGGGTTTCCTGATGCAAGTATGATGCTCTTGGAATGGGCAGATACTCGTATCATACCGTAGTGCTGATATTGACCTGGGTGTTTCTAATCTTTACTCGTACTTCTCGTAATAGCGAAGCCTAGTCCACAGGGAGAGGGATGTAAGCAGGCCCCGTGATGACCCTGAATCTCCCCGTTTAGGAGAAGTTAGTGAATCTAGCAGGTGCAACCGTGAAACACCACTGGTATTGGTCAATCTGGGTCGCTCTGTACCGTACAATACAGCGAAACAGAACTCCCTATTCCTTCGGCATCATGCCCGACAGCTATCATGCAGACGAAAAACGTCCCCCGCCCCTCCTCCTCCCCCTCCGTCTCCTCCTCCCTCCCTCTCTTCCTCCCCCTCCCTCTCCCCCTCCCCCTCCTCTTTCCCCCTCCCTACCGTATTCTCCTTACATAAGTGGCGAGGTGTTGCAGAGCCCGAGGGCCAATACTTGCCCCAGGGAAGAAGTACGAGTAGTCGAAAACAAGGGAGGGGGTACGCCTTGTATGGGCGCTCGGACGCACACAGATGTTTTGCCATATACAGTCAAACCTCGCTGTCCCGTATGAAATCCTGCGAATTCAAAAAAAGTTTTTTCCACGAAAAACTTGACCCGTTGTCCCGGACAGATTCTTCGGGGTTTGGTCGTCCGGGATAGCGAGCTGTGCGACTGTATTTCTTTTATCCCTGCCTTCGGGTACTTCTTGCCCAGGAGCAGTAGCTACTCGCACGGTGCAAGGCTTTTACAGTAATAAAAAGGGAAAGGTTTCCCCTTGCCATAGCTCTCGAGAATGTGGCAAGCCAGCGTGCGCACCTCAGCCATAGCTTGCCGTCAGCCAACCAATCTCTCTGATCCTGTCACTTGCAGGAGCAGGGTCTCTGATCCCAACGGCTCTGCATACCACGGCTCACCAATTGGTCAGGGTTGAGCCGCACACAACTTCATCAAGATGTCACCCAGCAATCACTTCCCCCGTACCCTTTCGTACCGTATTTCCTTTTTGACCCCGTCTAATTCTAAGTGGGAAGGCAGGCTAGAAGTGCTCCTTGGTGTGAAAAACTTAGGTTTGGAACGGGAGAGGGAAAAAGTGACAACGGAGGGTATATAGGTAACACAAGGTAACAAGTGGCTTCGTGTAACGAATCATGCGTAACTTTCACTTTGTCACTCTTCAGCCTCATGAAGTCAGGTTTGGTGAAAGCCTACTTATAACACCACAATTACTGGGTGGGGAAAAAGGGGGCCGAGGGGAATGGGGAAACGTACGAAGTATGTATAAGAGAGAGAGAGGGGGGGGTATTGGGATATGTGCAATATTATGGCTAGGTGTACAATTATACTTATTACCTGTTTTCGGCCTTGCTTTAGCGATCCTCGTAGCGCTTTTCGTGGGTATACCCTGCCGACTTTCTCGACCTGTTCCGGGGGGGGCCTGGTCTAGAGCGGTACTGTCTATCCACTGTCGCCTTGAAGGGGGGGGGGGGGGCACATTTGATGTTTTGAAGAGGGGGTGGACTTTTCAGCCTCTCTTTATCAACTTTACAACGTGGGGATTTACCTATGAAGATGCAGTTCTTCAAACCCACAATGCATTACCAGCGTTAGAGTTATTTCCCCCAGCCTCATGATCACTGTACGCTCGAACCAGACAGCGGTGCCGTAGCTTCTGGAGTGTACAGCGCATTTCCGGATCAACCCTTCCGAAACACCGAAACACCGTCAACCGATTGTTAGCCTGAAGGGCAACGCTCAAAAATGGATGAGGGTACACGGAGTTAGCGATGTGTTTCTACGGACGCATGCGCAGGAAGTTTGTAGTTGCACCTAGGCGGGGAATATCAGCTACGTTCCGTGATTGATGCGGAGCGATAGTCAGAACTTGCCAGACGGCCAGCTCAGACAGAGGGGAGCCTCAGGCTACCTTGAAGCTTCTTCGGCGGAGATAAAAGCACAGTGAGTTGTCCCCAGCTCTAATTGTGAGATTCAGATTTCACAATATATATCCCAACAAACTTATATGAGACCTTTCACTTGGTGTATTTTACATGTGGGGTTTGTGCAGTGCCCCACCTTGAGGGGGTTCGACTCATTGCGTCACGCTAAAAATTTCATGCGCAATAAGCGGGGAGAGAAAAATAGTACAGTCTAAGTGTAGAAGATCTGCTACCTTATCACCTCGTGAGACCGCGGTTAGCACTAAGGAGTGTCTGCACAACTGCCTTTCGCTATTTGTTTCAAGGGTTGGGGTTTGGGGCGGGGGTGTCTTGCTAGTTGGTTGGTCCGGCTGCACTTAGCTCAGATCCGGTTTTTGACCAAGAGATGCGGAAGTCCGATTTGGATAGCTTAACAATTTCCCCCAGAAATTGACACAGCTGTATCGGGTTCCAGGTTTGGCTAGGCCTGGTTTCGGATCATCGATGTCAACGTGTAAACCTAGTTGATATCACATATTCTAGCACCTCTCTTGTCTTCTAGCTCAGGCCTTTCGTGCACGTCTCAGATAACGCATGCGCTTCTACCGATTCGCTCGGTTAGGGGCCTTTCTAGTGCTGCGGTGAGGTCATTGGGGTGGGGAGGTGTGTCTCTGAAACTTGAAACTAGTCGGCATAACCGGTCACTCGGCCATCAATGGGGAGCTTGAGTGTGGGGCACGAGACCACTTGGCATTGAACAGCTATCCCTCCAGTGAGGGGGAAATAGTGTTTCTAGCTCTGTCGTGTTCTCGAGCTGAGGTGGGGTTAATTGGGGAATCTATCTGAAGAAACTCATGCTAGAGCCGGGGCACCGCATTGCATATCTTCATTACCCCGCACAGCCGATCCTTGACTTGGCCCATATTATTTAATTCCTGTTGGCCTTGACTTTGTTGAGCTGATATTTTTATTTTTTATTCCATCTGGTTCTGTGATGAGGATCTCTGTTATACCCTTTTAGTCTTTGAAGCTAGGAAATGGCAAAGGTAGCTTCCCTGTGATGCTAAAATATGGACGGAAGGCTGGGGCGTGTAACACGCTACCTCATCTTAAGCTTGAAACCTTAGGGCAAGCGCTCCGGCCAAGGACATGGAATACCGACTGCAAGCCTATAGGAAAACCCCGAGAAAAGTGATCCCGGATATAGAAATGCGTGGGGAATTATATGGTGCACTTCAAACAACTCGTCTTCTTTTCCACCGGCACAGAGGTTCTTCAAAACTCTAGTAGAAGTTGTGGAGGTGTAACGTGATGCCATAGGAATCTCCGAGGCATTTGTGGGGAGATTTTAAATGATTCTGTGATTTCTTCCGGAGTGTTTTCGCAGTCACTCAATGTTCCAACCTGGATCCTTGGCATTTGATCTTCCTGAAATTTTCTATCGCTGGCGGGACGCAAGGCGCAACCCGGGTGAATTCCTCAGAGCAGTCCTTGGTATATCCTGTAAAAACTTCTAGAGGAGGCTTAGGAAGGAGTGTAAGATCCGTAAGGATAACGATTGGGCGGGCCGCTGATAAAGCATATCCTGGAGAAGGGAGGTGTTTTTATCGGCGACAGGGAGTTAGCAAGCATAACTGGGGACAGCATTCAGATATCTTAATATCTAGTGCCGGTGCCCCCAAGTTAGTAAAGGTACGGGAGTATGAGAGCTCTCAAAGGGGGCTGCCTGAGGGTGGGTGTGTATTCTAATAGAAGGTCACCCGGACTCTGTCGCTGATCAACTGCTCCCGGCAGCCCAAAGAAATGAACCCACGTGTTTGACTGAGATATACCGAAGACCAATTTGCGCATAAGGTCTCAACAGGCAATGAAAGAACAGCTCTATTAAGTTCGACATCTGAACACTGCGAGATTGTAGGTGGTTGCCGAAACTGTAAAACTCGATCGCGAGCGGTTTGGCCGCCACGGGACGCGAAGAATGCCGTATCAGGAAACACAGAGAGGGGACTTAAACTATTACTGGATAGGAAACTCCATCGCTGTGCACCGGGATCGCAAGGGTTAGTTGGCAGACGTGGAGGGGGTATTACTAGCAAGATAGCAAAGATGCCACCAAGTGACTACCCCCAGGAAAAAAAAATTATGTTCTGCCAAAGCTACACACCCCTTGAATTGACATTATTACTGCAGATTTTGCTATACTGCCACTCTGGACACTCTTGTCTCCCGGGATAGAGTGGTGGGACCCCTCTTATGCTAGGGAACAACAGAAGTCTTTGACGTTGTTCGGGGGTTGAGTTCTAGTGCACCCCCGTGGACTCTGTAAGAAGCTCTAGCCCTACGCACGTGATTTTTATATATTTGAGGGATTTTCTATTTCACGAGCTATGCAACTTCCTTCCCCAATCCCCTTGTCCTGTATCAAACTGATGCGGGTGCGAGTGCTGAGCTATGACCAACTCCTATTGAATACATGCGGGAAGCAGGTCTCCGTGGTTATGGGGAGGCTCGCATCGGTTGATTCGAATTGGCCCCAATCTGGGGTGCGAGCCATTGCAATGAGGGCAGTTTTAGCAGTGCCCCAAATCAATAATTTAGGGTAAATATATGGTTTAGGTTAAAATCAGTGACTGGCAGAAAGATTGGAACCGAAAGGTTCTGCTTGGTTAATACTTCATCTTTTGCCATTGTGTCATTTAAGAACTAGGCTGTATGGAGGTAGCCGTACTTTATAGTGAATCCCCGGAGAAGGGTCGAAGCTGGGCACATTGGGTGAATTTCATCTCTCAGCGGTGTGCTGTATCTCAAGGACTTTCACATTCGGTAACTTTCAGACTAGTAACTAATAATAGGAGACCCGGATCAAGGTTGATAAAGTTTTAGGAACAAAAAAGTTAATGAGAGGAAAAAAAGAAAACCCCACCCCGATCCTGATACTGAATTCCCCTCTTCAACTTTCCTTGGTTCGCGGATTACACGCACCCACCATTGTGAGCTAGAAGATTTGACGAACAGCATTTTGGAGAGCTGTTGGTAACACAGAGGTTGCCCTTGATAGCCCTTCGAATGCTCTTCTTGACAAGCTCGTCCCTATCTAATTTTGGTGTTCGTAAGGTAGCTACCAAGCATTTTTTATACAATACCAAACCCGCAACATGGGGCGCCGCCATACTTGTCCCGCTGAATGTATTTGTTGCTGTCCTAGAGGTAATCCACGCGGATAACACCTCAACTCCAGGAGCGTGAATATCCACACAGCATCCATTATTGCTGAAGGAGGCCAAGGTATCATTGGTGTCTGAGGCTCCAACAGTGATTGCATTCGGTGCCGAAGCGGGACTGAACTGGCATGCATTGGCCTGCAGGAGCGTCAGCTTGCAGAGCGAAACAACAAGACCCTCCAGGTTTTGGGGGACATACACCTATATTGCCAGCTGATACCACAACCGTCAGGCCCTTCGCAATCACCGCCTGTACCGCACTGTTGGCGGCAAGATTAAAACCACCACCTTTACAGGTGTTAATAAACCGCAACCCAGCGACTGCTCTCGTAGGAGGAAACCTAACTTACCAAGAGACATGTTTACAACAGATAAGGGGATCTTGCCGGTACCGGAGGCGTGCTTATATGCCTGCTCGATCCCGGCGATAACCCCAGACCAGGACCCGGTACACGAGCCCTGACGGGCGCCTTCCAAAACCTTGATGGAAAGAACGATGGCATTCTTGGCGACACCATATGTCCTTCCTATAATTGTTCCAGAAACGTGAGTGCCATGGCCACAACGATCATCCGAAGGCCAAAGTGGATTTGCCTTCCACAGATGGCTTGCTCGGCCTCCGAAGTCTTCGTGCTCTGCGTATACCCCCGAGTCTAGGACATATGCGGTAGGCGCACCGGTGCGACCGTTGCAGTAGGGGGAGCTGTCGTCAAAGAGATATATCCCTCTGTTACCCCCGGGAAGGAAAGATATTCTACCCAGGCCCCACAAACCCGGCATGGACAATGGTTTCTTGACGCACAACGCATCGGCGTTGACGACACCATCTTGCTCTACAAGGGCCACCTAGAAAGGAGCTATAGGTTAACTATCTTCACATAAACAGCAGAGTCATTGGCACACCTCAGGTCTTGCGCGTATCTGTTGAACGGTGCTATCATCGAATTTCCCGCTATATCCCACGAACCCTGCGAAGTCGTACTTTCGTTCTGCCCCCGCAAAACTGGCGACTTCTTTGGTAACTGTGCTCAACCAAGAGAGATGGTCATCAAGGCTTTGGGAGCTGGCTTCCTCCTTGAGTTGCACAATCCAGGCGTTCGGGATCTTCTCATCCACAAAAGGCTGTGCAGCATCGTCTAATGGAGCAGCAACGATCCCAGTAATAAGGGGTAGAACTGATGCAACGAGGCAGAAAAAGGGTCTCATGGTGTAGGATTGGACTGGCTTATGAGAGTCGAGAGGCAGGAACGCCAGGAAGGCAATTGTCTCGAAGGGGTTGCCTTGCCTTTTTTACCGTGAAAAACCCCTAGTGGTGCGATGGGTTCTGAGAGATATATCTCGTGGTGTTTTTCTGTAGATTTTCGGAGGGGTGCGCTAGGGTTTGTTATCGTACCCATTTTAAAGTGATGCTCGTCTTTTGAACTCGCATTTGCTCTCTGGTGTTGCCGTGGAGATGCCGAAAGAGCAGACAAAGTTGGTCTGCGAGTCGGGAATCCGCATGCCACCAACTTAGCTGGCACGCACTCTTGAAAGAGGAGGGGAAAACCCCAGAGTTAGCGTTTTGACGTTTGAGGCCGGCTTGAGGAATATTAAGAGTGTAGGTATTTTCCTGGAAAATGTTCGGCACTTCTAGGGTCGTCTTGGAGCCTAGGGAAACATATTTAACGAATGCTTGGCCTATGTTTACATATCCTAGAGTAGAACCATGTTCCCTTCTTGAAGGTTGGGTAAATTTTTAGATATGTAGGACGTGTGCCCAACAGGTTTCATGCTCTGTGGGCAGGCTAGGATTTTACTATTGAGCGGAGTTTAAGACGTTCAACGGCAGAGGCGCCCAATTCTCACCTGCCATTTCCGTGAGGCTAACTACCTGAGCACTAAAATTCTGAATAGTTCATAGAATTTCAACAGCCGGCTACGGAGGTACCCAGCCGTTGGATTTGCGGCTCCAGATGGGCAAAAGTAACCTCGGGGCACCGTTCCTGTAAAACCCCCAGCTCGGGTAATTGGGCTTGAGTAACGGATTTCCCTCCCCTCAAATATATCTTGTGGGTTATGGAGAGAAAATTGGGCTCCTTAGACCAAACGCTGTTTCCGAGTAGGAAGAATGTACCAACTATCTGCCGTATCGTTCATATTTTCCTTGAAAGCAGATAGACTCCGACTAATTCCGGCAGAGGGAAGTAGGCAGGTGGCTCTTCCGAGGATTCGCTGTTGAGATCCTGCTTGAAGAGTGTCTCATGATCGCTCACAGCGGTCCTGCTAAAGGCCGGAATCACAATTCATGCTAACAAAATCTCAGGTTCGCACTTAACTTACCTTGCAGGCTGCATCAAAGCTCCGGATACAACCGTGGATACGAGAGTTGACGGGAGCAAGACTGAACTTTAATGCAAACTATGGGGCAGGAGCCCATCCACTGGAACTATTTGAACAAATGGCGTGATAAGCCGTTGGTTTCCTTGTATTACCGGCCAAAAGTTCACAAAGACACGTGCACAGACCTTCAGCTATTGGGGGGCCATAGCTATCCGCGACCACTCGTCAAATGTGTTATTGGGCCATCCATCAATGCACTGTGCCTGCATCTTAGCAGTTGTGGTAATGGCTTACCGGGTCTCCACTCATTATGCCTACGGCAGTCGCCCGCCTGGAAGCACTATCCGGGTGTTTGAATATTTCCCAGCTTAGAAACCCATCCCGAGAAAACAGAAGGCTCCTGACAGAATGTATGCTACCCTGAAGCCATACTAAGTAACGATGTCCGAGCTAAGCACAAGCTTTTTTTTTTTACAATAGTCTGCGGTACTGCTTCAGATCTGAGTTTCTCGATCCTGTCATGCATGGGTAGCGTTACTATTCGCTCGGTAACCAAGAGTGCTCCCACCCCTGATTTGCCAAATGCTAATTAACTACCGCTAGCTTAGGTTATTTGTGGTATTGGATTACGGCGTTGGCCGATCACGCTTTATACTACTGGCTCCAGTTGCACAAGACATCACTCGCCGATTCCTGATGTCGGACAGCACCAACGGCTGAGGTACCTCGCTCCGACTGTTGTCAGAAGATTATCTTAACGCCCAAGTGCGGATGAGACTATTTGGCAGGCGATTTTGAACAGCTTGGCCCTGCGGAGTGTAGTACCAAAACAGCTTCTAACACCAGAGTGTGGTTTGGCACAGGGACAGATAGTAGAACTGCTATCGCAGTTCTAGTAGCATTGGTGGAAAAGTATTTTAGAGCAGGGCCTAAGAAGAGCCCCACCATTCAGCCCTATTAAATTGGGTAAGAGAACCTTTTCTTGCGGGCGTGCCTCTCAATAGAATCACCAGCCTGTCGTGTAGAGCCATATATTTAATTTCAGTTTTCGTTCAGACCTCGGCTGAAAAAAGGGTCCACGAGCCACCACACAAGTCTAAAGGCCCGAGCCCTACCTGGTATCCAACCCCCGTACAAGTTGGGAGGATTTTGGGGAAAAATGTTCCCAAGGCTAGAAGAAAAAATGTGGTAACTACTACAGCTATCAGCAACAATACAATTCAAGCTATCAACCATCACTAAAGTTAATTCCCTTCAAACTGCAGGTGAGAGCACATTAACACATAATCACAAGTTCATGGTCGGGCAACAAATCCAGACACAATCCTAGTTTCTTCATCACCAAGCACGGCAGATGGTAAGGGTATCCCAATCCTTAACCCATAAGGTCAACCCGCGATTTCTCGACAGGCCTCCGCTGGCGCACTAACAGCTGCCCCTATTAAATTTGGGTTTTTGCATTCTAGCCCATAGACCTCCCGAGTTGACCGTAGTTAATCTTCCATGGCTCTCTCTAGGCCCCCGTCTCTCCACGATGGCATTACCCCCGGTCACAAGGGCTTAGCAATGAAGTACGTCTTTAGGCAGCTGGGTTAGAGGGTGTAAGGACCAACGCGATGGGGAAGGAGAAGTTGTCCGAGGCTCAAAAGAGTTAGAGTTTATCAGCTCTGATGTGGGGTTTTTGGAGATAATGTCAAGGACGCCTGACAAAAGCAGGGCCCCTATGTTGGATCGTAGGTATTTCGGTGGACGCAGCTAGTAGGAGGGGGACGGGAGCTTTGTACCGCTTTCTCTTGAAATATTGCAGCACTTGCACCTGTGTTTTTAAAGAATTGGCATCCCCGAGAGCAGACACAGTGCGGTGCTGCTCTCTCTATTGGTCACCCAACGGTGTCGAGGCGGGCGAGTGATATGTGGTGAAAAATGCTCTGGAGTCGAGTTCTCATGGAACTATCCCTTGAACATCATATTCGTCAGGAGACACGTTAGGACTCTCCCGGAACAGCTCGGGCTTTGTAGTCTTCTGGGGATATTTAAACTCCCCAAGAATGCTGAATCACTTGAGCACTGAAAAGAATGAAAATCTGATTTCCCGATTAAGTTCAGCTAACCTTTGCTAATCTTGGCCTTAGCGTGACCAGCGACGAATTTAACCATTTCAGACCGCCCAGGGAATGATAACCACCAAATATGCAAAATCATATATTGTTGCCCCCCCCACCAAACCCACCACCAAAATTCACCACTCAATCTATACGTCAACCGCGCCAACGCATCTATCCCACTTAAACAGCAAGGGGGATGACACCTCCCTTCTTAACACACCAAATCCACATGCTCTCATCATTAGAGATATCAACAACCCACTTCGTGCTCCTGCCCTTCTTCAAGAACTTGTGGTGAGAGAACACTTTCCCAACCGATCACTGTTGGATGTGTGCGGAGGAAAGGGTGAGATGATTGTATTTCTTAGCTAGGATCAAGGCTGCAGATAAGGGAAATACATGACTGCCGAGCCTCCTCTCCCGTTCCTGGATCACCCATACCCTAAACACCTCTACAAGAGGGTAGCCACCCGTACCACCCGCCAATAATCACAACCATGAACATATCGGGGTCCTCAATCCATCCGCACGCATGACCACCACAACAGCTGGCCAACACCAATGCCCTCTTGAAAACATTATATCCAGATCCCTCTACCAGCGCTTAGAGCGGTATTCAGTTTACCCATTCCATAGCGGGAACCTCCAAGACTGCAGTTGGCCCATAGGGTGTGAGGGAGTTGTGTGAAGGAGGAACGGTGCGCCGGAACTCATACCAACCGCTTTCCCCTTGAAAGCTAGGTGCGTAGATCGCTTGCAGAAGGCCTGCAGTGCCAAGTGCGACGTCCAGTCTAGGTAGTGTAAGCCATTTTTGCAGTTGATACTACCATTGACTCAAGAAAAAAGGACTGAGAGGGGGATGATAATATTTAGAGCCAAATGAAAATACCCCCCATCCTCAATGCACCACCCCCCAACCCCCACCAGTGCATCCAACGCATTTCTCAATGCCCCGGACCCACTTCCTAGAACTAACTGCTCCCCCCGGCCTTCACCGGGAAAGTAATGAATTCAGTGGTGGGGGTAACGGATGACATTTCGTTTTTGCAATGATAATATATCGAAGAATGGAATGGCCCCCCATTATCTAGCATCGAGGCGCGGCTCATAAAGGGAAAAATAACTACAAGGAACCTTACGATGTTCTGGATAGTATAACATGATGAATCTTACTAGCATCTGAATGCCAATTTGACTATCTGAGCTTCTATGAAAATGGGGCGCCACATTTATGATATGATATCAATCCAAGACATCCGACAGCCCTGTCACTAAATAATAGGAGACACGAAAGTGCTGAGGAAATAAAGAAATTGGCACATGCCTGACCACACGTATCTCTTTTCCCTTAAGCGAATTGTGGGGTGAGGTGGGGTGTTCTACTGCACCTGGCTTTGCTCCGCACAATGTAGCTACATATCTAGTCTACTATCTACTGTAATGTGCGCCACTAGCCCATGGTGACCTTTAATGATGAATATTTGTGAACGGTAGATATTATCGAAAGGATATGTTAGATAAAGGTAGTGTTTCCCTGGAATTCCTAGCTCCAACGATCACCCCCCCACTGCGCCCGGCAAACCCTCCGGAGAAATATAATGACTATAATTCCCCAGCCCTCCTATCCAATATTCCTTGAAGCCGGCCAAAATATTATATAAATCGGGAGCTTCAGACTCCCCTAGCGAAGAGATGTGCGCATCGACCGACCTGCCCAGGTGCCAAGAAGGGCATGGTAGGACACACCGGGACAAACCCCACCATGCGCAGCTACAGTCAACAGAGGTCCAGACCAAGTTTCGGTAGTAAGAAACCTTCAACCCGAAAAGTTAAAAGCTCCCCCAGAGGTCCTGCCTAATGGTCCTCCAGTAGGGCGTCACAGAGCGAGGGCCCACAATTCCTCTCCCCAGGGGGGGGGGGAACATAGCAAAAGAAAAAGGTAGCAAAAATAATAATAATTCCAGGACCTACGAGAAGGCAACTCGGACGACATAGCACATGGAGCAACTACCTGTATTTAAGATTTTACAGTAGGTGATATTACATAAGTTAATGATTCCACCAGGCTGAAGTGTAAGAGCCATGAGGTCGGGCCTAGGATTGAGGCCCAGGATTCCGACTCCAACCAAATATTGTGCCTTCAAGAGGGTGCGATTTCGCGACCGCCCTCCCAGGCAGATTTTAAGGAGAGTGGTTTCAGCATACTCAAGAATTGCCAACTGTATGGCCTCTTGAAGGGGCCGAGATTGAGAGGCCCGACATTTATCGGGGCCTCATTAGCCCCCGGTGTGAGCGATAACCCCTAGCAACTCTGGGTTGCGGTGCTGCACTGATAACCCCCACAGGTCAGACCGCCCGAACACCACAGCCCCATCTCGGGCGCCGGCTTCAGCTTGCCCGCGTGAGTGGAACCTAAGATTGTCCAAGAACCAATGTATGTGCGTGGGCCCTCTAATATGGTAAAAATATAGACTTGGAAACCGCGGAAAGGTAGATTCTACAGCTGCAGCATTAAACCCCCTCCACAATATTTGTGGAAGTTGGGGTATTCACGATGCTGGGTTGGGAAACCGGAATTGCGCTACGGTGTGATATGATATTATAAGGGAGTCGGCGCTATCAAAGGCTTATCAGGTCCGTGTTGCTTCACCACCTTTATCGGGACCCGGCGGCTAAGACCCTTCGCCGTCGATTCTAGAATCGAGTAAGATGGCTGCCAATGCCTGCCATAGGACAGGCGAAAAGCGAGAGAAATTGTCCAGGCCCACATGACGGAATCATTGGACGGGAACAGACCGAGAAAGAGAAATATGTAAAGCACGAAAGGTACAAGTACTGTACCGTAGTACCCGTCCGCAAATATACCCGTTAACCTACATATGGGGAGAGTAAAACAAGCCAAAGAAAGGGAAAAGGAAAAAGCAGCACGGGAAAGGCAGGGAAGCGGGCTTTAACTCTTGCCAACGAGTGTCAAGCACTGAATAAAAGACAAAATCCTGGGTTCAATCTCCTTCTTCGGACAGTAGAAGCCCTATAAGGCAGGACTAACCCGGAACCTGGTCCCGAAGTTGTCCGTTGCATCTCACCCTGAAAGAAATGGCGCACTACCGCAAACTTTTTTTCTTTTCTTTCCCTTCCACTCTCTTCCCGAGCTGTCCTTTTTTTCCACTCTTTCTTCATTCTCCTCCTCTCCGTCCACGCTCTACGATTATTCAACTCTCCCCTCACTCTTCTTGTTGTAGCTACTCTTTCCGTCCGTCGCTTACGAGCCCTTGTGAGCCTATCCAAGGATTCCCTTTTCACGACTTTTTTCCCCAAAAGAAATCGAGAAACTACGGAAAAAATGTCAAAAGCAGTCGAAGCCGTTGTTTCCAACAAGAAACCAGAGCAACTGTCTGGTCTCCAACTGTATTCCCGCTTCGCTTTCGCTGGTGCCGTCTGCTGTGGTGTTACCCACGGTGCATTGACTCCCGTTGATGTGTAAGTATCTCTTTTTTCTTCTTTGTTTGTCGAGTCTTCCTCTACATCGAAACCTTCTTGGCGGTCGGATCTGCGGAACCCGGTTAGATGCATGGGGCTCTTGGAGCCACTGATTGGGCTATGGATGGGGGAGGGGGGGTACGGGGTGGCCGTTTGACCGTGAATAATGATGGTTGGAGTTCTTGTCTGGAAAGATGCCTCGCGAAACTGCTACGCATTTATCGGGGACGGGATCTCGCTTTACTTTATCTGGCAAAAGTTTATTTATATCCCCGCAAAGGACCTGATAGATCGAAGTTCTGACACTGGGTTCTTCTCTTGCCAGTGTAAAAACCCGCATCCAGCTTGACCCCGTTACCTACAACCGTGGCCTTGTCGGCGGCTTCAAGCAGGTCGTTCAGAATGAGGGCGCCGGGGCTCTGTTGACCGGTTTTGGTCCTACATGTGCTGGATACTTCTTGCAGGGAGCATTCAAATTTGGAGGGTACGAGCTCTTCAAGCAGCAGAGCATTAACATTCTTGTGAGCATATTTTCTCTCCTTCTGCTAGGATAACAACCCCGTGGCTGGGTTCTCATATATGGCAAACTAGGGATATGACACCGCTAGACAAAATCGAACAGCTGTCTACCTTGCCTCTTCGGCACTTGCCGAATTCTTTGCCGATATTGCCCTTTGCCCGTTGGAGGCTACCCGCATCCGTCTAGTTTCCCAACCAGAATTCGCTTCTGGTCTCCTCTCGGGCTTCGGCAAGATCTTGAAGAACGAGGGTGTTGGTGCTTTCTACTCCGGATTCGGGCCCATCCTGTTCAAGCAGGTCCCATACACTATGGCCAAGTTTGTCGTGTACGAGAAGGTTGCCGAGACTGTCTACTCCCACTGGGATAAGAAGTCCATGTCCGACGGCGCTCAGACTACCGTCAACTTGGGATCCGGTCTGATCGCTGGTTTTGCGGCTGCCATTGTCTCCCAACCCGCTGATACCATGCTTTCAAAGATCAACAAGACCAAGGGACTTCCTGGGGAGGGAACCACTAGCAGATTGGTCAAGATCGCTAAGGAATTGGGGTTCAGGGGTTCGTACACCGGTATCGGTGCTCGTCTGTTCATGGGTCGGTTTATCCTAATCCCCTTTCCTGCTTCCGTGTGCTCACTTTTATCTTAGTTGGAACCTTAACTGCCGGCCAATTCGCTATATACGGTGATATAAAGAAGGCCCTTGGTGCCGTTGGAGGTGTCGAGATCAGTAAATAAACGAATGAATAGATGACATGTCTGGGAAAAGTTTGATTTTTTGATTGTTTCTTGTAATCTATCTTTTTTTTTAGGGTTTGGGTTAGACCTAGAGTTGGTGTTAAATAGACATTAATATATCCCTCCCCCCTCAATTATGCTCCACTCAATTCACAGCACGGCTAAAATTTTATGATTGGCGTTGAGTTTGAGGAGTGGGGTTTCTTATCAATACATACAACATACATCGCGGTAACCGTGTTGGGCAAACTGTTTACTGTCAACCACGACGAAATTAGGCCGACGAACAGGGGTATTGCCAAAGTAGGGTAACAAATAATTACCGGTATCGTACTCGGTACCAATCCCTGTTCGTCCCGCACGGTTCCGTCCTGTCCTGGGAACGGTTTAGACCACACCAGTACTAGCACCACCGTACGGTACAAGTAATACTTGTATCATACCCAGTCACTGTGTTGGCAGTTTCGGTGAAAAATTCGATGAGGCCACAATGCAGCAAGCCATCTAATACCGGTAACGGTATTGGTCCCGGCGTCCCTTGAAGGGGAATTAGTGAAGAGGCAGGGAGTTGGTATAATATCATTGAAAGGTTGGAAAGAAAAAAAAATCCGCCGAGCAAAGAATTGGAAGTGGTTGGGAGTGTGTGTCGTGCTGGCGAATAGTGGCTGGTACAGTACTCGTACTTGAGTACAATACTGGCACTCGAGTACTCGAGTACAGGCGCCAGGTGTAAGCACATCGCAACATCTGATACCGCCGCGAGTATCAAACGGTCACCTCTTGCAAACACAGGCTGGAGATGAAGTCTGTGCGGGGGAAAAAGCGGTCTGCGATGGGATAGCACTGGGTATGGTGAGGGTCCTTGAAGGGTAGTTTACGAGCATCAGTCGATCTTTTTCACGTTTGTTGTGCTGCAAGGAAAGGGCTGGTCGATGTCCATGATTGATTGGCGAACAACCGTTTGCGTTCCCATGGCAACGGGCCGCTTGGTCAACAACCCTTTCCCCGGCCACAATCACAAAGCCATCAACGGTCACCCTTTGCCCTCCCACCCCAAACTTCTCCTAATTTTCTCCCTTCCCGAATTCCCAAGTTTGTTCGTGCTCTAGCAGTTCAGCGTCTGGGATTTTCTTCCTATCTACCTATACACGCATTTCCCCTGAAGTGCTTCAAGTTCTCACGATACTCACATAACCACCTATTCCATTCTCTTCAAGTTTTCCCTCCTGTTTCCATCCCATCCCGGACTCCTTGGAGCCACGTGCTTCCTCACCGTCACCCCTTGCTTGCATAACAAACAAACACAGCTATGAATTCTGACCGGGAACCATTGAGTCCTCCTACATCGCCGGCCGCTGAAGAAGATGAGGGCGAGATCTATGACAGCAATTATGACGAAGAGGGGCTATTGACTCCCATGGATGGCTCCGATGGTAGGGGAGGGGATGAATCTGGTGGTGACGAGGGATACGATGACGATGGGGCACGTACTCAAAGTGTACCTTCCTCACCTCCAACTTCTGTCGAGACGCCTAGCAAGAATGGCGATCATACGCCCTCCGTACAAGTTTCAAGCCCAGCAGATGGCACCGAAAATTATCGAGCCCCCGAAGTGGAGACAGAGGATGAAGACGGGAACGAAAGTCGCCGGGACTACTTCCCCGAGGGAGAGCGGTACGCAGCCAGTGAAGATACCTTTGTTCACAAGGGCAAAGCCTGGGAATCCTCTTCTCAATGGGAGGATTATGAAGGCGAGGCCTTGCCAACTTCTTCACCACCACCCAATGTTCGACAATCACCGGCTTCATCCCGAAAGTCTGCCCCTCCTCTTTCATCGCCCCTCTTTCCCTCACGTGCTCGCCAGAGTCAGGGCTCCGTCTCCGTCAAATCTACTCTTAGTCATCGGCTGTATACTCGACCATCGCCTGCATCAAGAGCGTCTTCAGGATCCTACGACCCTCGGGAGCTCGAGAGAAAGGCACCTCTTGTTCTTCTGCACATCACGTTGCTTCTACTCCCCGGGGCCGAGGATGTTGTCCTTCAACATATCACCCCAACCACTTTTGAGCGTGGATTATTAGTGGAACATCCTCGAGGTGATTACAACCTATTGGAAGAAATGATTTTGGATGGCCTAGGTCTGGATGACGATGATTACCCTGTAGAAGAGACTACTTCTAAGGCGGAAGAGGAGGATTCAAGCTGGGAGAAGGCCTTGAACGTTCCTTCGACCCCCGGAAAGAAGCCATGGCAGCTACGGGTTTATGCTTCCAATGGCCTCATGACTCCCGGTGCGTGGAAGAGAGTTTGGTCAGAAATGGAGAGGATTGATGTCGAGATCTGGCCTCGCGGTTTCGACCGAACAAATAAGTGGGGGGTTGGTCTTTCTTCTCCTTCATCTACCATCGCTACGGCCATGGCCCGTGGTGGCAGTCTCAACGGTAAATCTGCTTCAGTTACCGCTCCCATCCCTCTTGAACTCGGGTCATCGATTGTTGCGACGGACTTCAATGATATTGAGGGTGATTGCAACGGCTTGTTAGCCAACCGAAACACCCGTCGTGGAACCCACTCGAGCAATGGTGGTGGTACGTCAGACCGAAAGAAAAGCAACCACAGTCACAATAACAGCAACAGTAGTAGTGGAATCCTTAGACGTCTATCCCAACCGGATGCGCCCGTGTCACCCACTGCTAAGTTTTCGATGCCGAAGTCTTCTAGGAAGAGCAGGCGCCGTGCTCCGCCCCGTCTTCCCTTAATGGACCACTTTTCAGTCGAAAATGCCAAATTTTACTTTGATAAGCTTACAAACCCCAAAGCTGTAAAGATCCTTGCAGGCATCAATCTTTTATTATTCCTGTATTTCACCTTGTTCAAATCCTTCGTTGGTGTCGCGACAAATTCCGTTTCAGTCAACTGGTTTAATCACCGCGAGATTGATCCGACTTGCTCTACCGAGGACGACGCTGTTCGGGTTGCCGAAGTCGATACGGATGAACCGAGATCGGAGGTTGACATTGAGATCCCGGAAGGTGTTGAGGATGAGAACAAACAAGGCGATGATGATGAGGGCATATTCGACCTGGATAGTCTAAACTTCTTGGAAGAGGAGAATGATGACGATTTATTGCCTATTCTCGACGATTTAACCCTCCAAAACCTAATCGACGACGAGGCCGAGGGTTCAGGAGACCCAGCTTCGGATGAGGGTTCAGTACCAGACCTCTCAACTCTCATAGGTGACAAAGTGCCCGGGGGAAATGATGCACACTCTGCCGCGGAGGGCGACGGCCCGGCCACAGACCCTGAATCGTCCCAGATCTCCTTGGGAGATGACGAGGCGGAAGAAAAGCCATCATCGTTCCCTTGGAGTCGTTGGGGAGATGGACTTAAGGACAAGTTGACATTCTAGATGGCTGTGTTAGTTTCCTTTTTGGCATGCATGTTCCGGCGGTTGTTTCCTTTGTTTGATCGCGATAGCACAAAAATGGAGTCTTATGTTTTTAACACCACGGGAGGAAATACAGTGATGAGTGGGAATGCGGATAATGGAGATATGATGGAATATAGTAGGCGGGAATATTGATACCATAATGAAGTGTCTCCCTTTTTCATACGGTATCGCTTTTTTTTCTCTGATGAAACTCATTTCCTTTCCCTGGGAGGGTGGGGGGTTTACGTGTTTCGGATCATTTCCAATGTTAAATTTTGATGTTAGATAAGCCGGTTGGCATGGAAACGATTTGCGGCGTGGGGAAGGGATGTGACTCGGTGGATGAGAATTGAATGTTGTGAGATTGCGTGCCAAACAAATCGAATGCCTGCGGAATACGCGGCCCACTTTTGTAGCCGTTGGCAAGGCTAAGCGTTGTGTGCGACATGGATATGCTTAACAAGCAGACGCCGGTGGGCCTCATCGTGGCACGATACCTGATATTATACCTATCATACTGTTGCGATGCCGCGACTCCACTCCACCGCTATGATACATGCAGTCATCAAGTGTACCATCCTAACCCATCGCGAGCTTGGAACCCCTACCGGGGTCATGATGCGATACCTGTGCACGGACTATGGGTAACGAGTGAGGTTGCGTGATGGTGTTTATCGGAGTGCCGGTACGCGTTTGAGGGAGGGGGGGTGGGATACCATGTTGATTTCCAGGAGAGTTAGGTACAGTCCCGATTGTGGGTGGTCTGACGGTATCGGTTAGGTGGGGTTTTTTTTCTCTTTGTTAAGTCCAACGGCCAGGTGCCCAGTTCCATACCCTCACTCCACCTCCACAATATCCACCCTACCGATTCATCCTTGGTGTAACTCCACTCCGGAGAACCCTGCAAGAAGGAGTCCACCTCCGCCGTACGATACTGTTATTTTTCCTTCAAACTGGGAGTCATTGACGGGCGGTGGATCGACAGGGCAGGGCGGTGAAGGGGAAGGGGGGGTACCGGCGGAGTAGGGCCCTTCTAGGGGATTCCGATGTGGATATCTGGAAGGTTGAGTTATAATTTCTGGTGTGGTGGTGGGTAGGTGGGGTATGATAGCAGGCAGCACGGCGAACAGTCACGGTGGCCTAGTGTTGATATTCGGGAGGTGAGGTACGTACTGCGCGGTGCTTCCGAGCGTAGATTTGCGCGATGGAGTCGTAACGCGATGATGTGGGGCAGCGTATCGCGACGAAGCCTTGATGCGCTAACCCGACCAGACCATGCTCTCTCGAGAAGCAACTGCATATCCTACAACACCGCGGGTCTAGGCACGACGCGGTATGATAACACCATGCACCACACTGCCCTTCCTGGTGCAAACGACCCCTTCCCGCGCGGAACCGTCTGGAACAAGGACCTTCCCATCAAGTGTTACAGGGCTCAATGGGTTGCTTCCCCCTGGGACAACCGTTTGCTCAAGGTGGCTCTTTCAACGACCGCGCGGGTGCATGCCCAGCGAATGGCGTATCATAGGCCGTGCAGGCAGGTCTGGCCAGATATACCGGTAGCATACCGATTGATCTACGGATATCAGAGTGCTTCTCTACCGGCACTTTTGCCATGCACGGCCTTGCTTGCCTTACGGGGTTGGGCGGATTAACGGTATATAGTGTGTTTTTTTTGGTTTTTTTCCCCGCCGGTATGATTTGCAAGGCCCCTTTGCATGGGTGAGCCTAGTCCATGAGGGGGGGAAAGTGCGGGAGATTAAAGTGAGTGAGTGAATGTGGGGGGGAATGGGGTCTTGTTTTCCGGACCTTTTTTTTCCTCAAAGCCGGGTCTTGCCGGCTGGGGTTAAGATTTGGGGTGGATGGTTTGTCGCGACAGATTGGTGGATCAAGGGAAGGGGAGCGGAAGTGGTGACACTGTATACAGTGTGTATATCGCAGGTTGGAATTGTTTTTGGTAGAATTGTTTTTGGCGGGAGTGGAAGAAGCATGATAGTAGATTTGGAGGTTATTTTGAGAGAGGTTGCCGTACCGGTAAATTATCTGTCGGAAGTACCCGTACTTGTATCACGCAATAAACTGCTCTATTATCATAGTAGATTAGTAAGCGCTAAGGGTGCTAAGATTCAACATTCGGATCAACATCTGAGTGCTGTTGATAGATATATTCGTCACGTGGGGCGTGATAACTAAAACGATGCAGTTCTTTTGTTTATCATACTTCACGCGACGGATGCACCCATCGGCCTCACCCATACTACTCGAGTACAGTATTCTGACTCAATATCTCCTCCACGAGTACGAGCGGCCTAACCCACGAGTAGCATAGCAAACAACCAACCATCCGCCGTCCACCACGGGCAAGCCAGAGATTCCCCGCCCATGAGTACGAGTACAGCACCGTATCATCACCCCGCAAAGCCCCCAGCCAAACCTACCCCATCATACCCAGCATCGTACGCGTCCACTTTCGAATCAGGCTTCCCACCCCGGGGCCCGACATCGCATCGATCCGTTCCATTCGTCTTCCTGCACTTTCTAGAATTCCGGAGTCCGCGGGCAATGCATAACGCGGGTACGGTATCATATTTACCCTCATGCGAGTATGGATGGTTCGCCTGAAAGAGAATGAAAGAATACCGTATATCATAACGATATCTGTCCTTACGAGTATGATACGACTCATACGAGTACGAGTACCGGTACTGTACTGTGCCATAATATGTAAGGGAGCCTAATTCCTTGCTTGGCGGTGGAGTTGTTTACACGTCAGACGTTGATTGGCGGGCGCGTCGGTGGTAGGTGGTAACGGGGTATGCAATCTTCTGCTTTTGGACGCGGATGCCGTCGTCGTTTCGTGGTGGGGTTGACAGGATGCGAGCACACGCTAATGTTATGTTATGATATCTTGACGGTGGAAATGAAGGCAGACCTTGATTAAGGTAGAGGTGGTGCAAGTGAAAGCACGACCGTAATTAGAGAATCTGGCTTGACCTTACGACCTCGATGGTGCAAGAGCGGCTGGAGCAATCAATACCATGATGATGTTGATAATGATGAAAGGAGAGCACAGCCTTGTTTTTCCTAATGCTGTGGAGAAGGAGAAAAAAAAGAAGATAAAAAGATAAAAAAAAACCCAGTTCGATTCACAGCGGCTTGGTCACCGCCATATGAAATGCAGCTTCCCGAGAAATATATTTCATTAGAGCGAATTGGTTTCCTCCGATTATCGGCACTTCTGCCCGTATGTTAATGGGGGGGGGGGAGGGAATGGCGGTTGGGAGCGCAGAAAAACTGGCCGTGCAAAAGCACAACTCCTGGTGGAAATCTCTTCCCCTACGACTGCAGCGACCCGAAGCGGGGTATGGGCTATTAGTACTATGCTCGGGTACAGTACCAGTACTAGCGCAATGGTAGGTACCCATTAACCGGAACCGTCAAGGATATATTTAGTGGTTAACCTCACATAACCGCCCCATAACTTCCCGATGGACCCTTGCACTGCGCCTCGTGAAGGAATATCATACCAGTACGGTACTTGTAAGAGCCCGGAGGGTGGAGGCATGGTTTCAGAGATATTATACCGTTGTGGGTGTAGAATCTTATCGCACTCCAAGTTATGCTGATCCACTGGTGGCATGTCATACGGTATTAGATTACCTTTCCGGAAAATGAGAAAAAAGAAACCTGCAGCAGAAGGTTTGGTCCATGAGGGAATGCACCTGCAAGTCAGGGTTTTGTCCCCTACAAGTATCATTCGATTGGGCGTGCATGTGACTTGTGGGGGGGGGGTCAGAGGTGATCGATTTTGTCAAAGCCTCTGCAAGGCGACCACTAATTCACCTACTGTGCCGGCAGCTTCAGGACCCCTCAGATTTGACTGTCCCAGCCAGCGAGTAATATTGCAGCGCTTGCAACTCCCAACTGCACTTTAATTCATCGGTCCGCCGAGATTTGCTTTGCCCTGTTTTTCTTGAGGGCCGTCAACCGGTCGGACGCTTTGACCTAGGCTTGAGAGTCTTGGGTATTAAAGCAAGGATAAAGGGGGGGTGGTGCGGGTCGTCGCCGAACGAGAATAGGATGGATTGCGAGGTACGGTATGACGCTCTAATCGTATGGGCCTTCCAGTGAGAAAATTGTTGCAGGTGGGTCTTTGGTGGGGGATCGAGAGCATACCGGTATTGGAAGAGTAGGGAGAGGATTGTTCGCCCCGGTTGAAGGTTGGCCTGAAAAACGGTCCAACGATGGTCCACTATCACTGTCTTCACTATCGCAGTGCCATAGCCTGCTGGTACCGGGCCGGTATACGGTAATGGTATAGCCCCTCCGCTAAAAAAGAGATTCTGGTGTTTTTTGTACTACATGAGATCCATCGCTTCCCGCAGTGCTCGAGTATTTGACTGCACAAGGCAGATGCGAGCACGGGTGTCCTTAATCCTCCTTGCGCTCCAATTGGCGGTAGCCGCCACCCCTCAACCAATCGTAGCCAATGATATCCCCCAATTGTTGGAGGCCTGAACAGGCATCAGCTCCCCCCCGCAGAGCCTCTCTACCATAAAAGAAGAACCATCACCCCAGCCTTTCTCCCCTCCATCCTTCACCTTCAACCTAAACCAGCAAACACTTTTTTACTCACTCTCTAGTCGCTCTTTTATTTCCCTCCTTTACATCTACCCTCATCTCCTCCTCCGCCCCCCCAAACTTCAAAAAATTTCAACCTCCAGTCCTGAAAACTAGCCAATGATTGAACCAGGGTACCATCGACCGCACACCCGTTTTAAAATGTCCGCCCAGATGGGCCTCGTCGTCTCATCCGTACGTGAAGAAATGAGTCACGATGGCTGCCCCAAGTATGTATCAAGCAAGCTTTTAGTTTTTCCCTTTTCCTTCCCGAGGGCTCTCAAATTCGTCGGGAATCTGCATGGAACACTGCCCCCTTCCCTTCTCTGCACTCGTTTCAAGGGAGCCGGTGCTGATATGTGACAATTAGTTTTCCTGGTGAGCCCTATACCGCCGACAACGCGGAGACCACTGTCATCGAAAATCACCCACAGTGCCGGCTCTTGCCCTCACAAGTCCAGAAACTACATGTTACTCCCCATTCTCTCTCGGGCTCCTCTGTGTGTACAGGCCTTCCTACATACATAAATCTCTACTAACGCGCATTTAGGAGACTCGTACCTCTTCTAGTCATTTGATGGGTCTTCCCTTCGTTGGGCAGCTGATCCACAATCTTCCCGTTTCCTCGAGGCTCCACGCAGCGGGCCACTCGACCACATATCCTTCAAAGTGCACGCAATCTCGATGGTCTCCAAGTGAGGCAACATCAGCACACGGCCTTCGATGCCATAGAGTCAATGGACTATGCTTCGGCACTACAGTCTCGTTCTCTGACGGCATCACCTCATGTACTGATGTTTCTCCGGGGGGTTGCCGAAGCTGCGTGCACGCTATTGGGGATTCTAATTTGAATAGGGAGTTTGGGATGCAGTCGTCGGTCGCCGAAGGGCCATCTAAGGGGCGGGGTTCTGCAGCTGGGTCAAAAACGGGTGGATCGGAGGATGCAAATCTGTTCGCGTCGTACATGCTTTTCTGGCTCATACCACTCGCGGTGTCCACTTCCCTCGTGGCGGCGTTGGGGATTCCACATGGTGCTCGTGCCGGTGCTCTTCTCAACTCTACGGGAGAATTTGTCGTTTCGAAATCGCCTCCTAGGCTGAGAACTCCAGGTCAAATTAACGGAGTAGCCTCCTATGATGCTGGCGGCTGTGACGATACACCGCAAAACCGAAGGAAGCATTGTGGTTATTACCGCTGTTTCCCTCAGCTTTCCAATCCCCCTATACATTGGAACAGCTATACCCATCCAGCCTCGAATCACGATTAAGTATGCTTTACCTATAATCCCACTGAAATTGTATATCGGCTGTGAGTCTAACAATTAAGGCAGAAACCTCGTACGAGCTAATTGCTCTGAAACATTTTGTTATACTTATAACAGCCACCGCTTTTTTTTGTTTTTTTCTTCCGTTTCGTCAGGAAGCGCCCCTTTGCCTGCTCCTGAGGCCAACTACGTCTACCAATTCCCACAACCTGGGCCCGGCCCATCGCAAAAATGTCTTCATACAACCAGTCCACACATGCCCCCCCCGGCGAGGATCTTTTGGGACCCGACCAAGCTGATTCATATTTCGAGAGTGAGATGCGCCAAATAGCGATCTCTGGATACGGAGAACCAAGCCCGGGGTATACCACCTATAGCGGACAAGACCTTACAGCCATCCCCCTCCAACCTGTATCCATGGAGGATCTATTAACCTTTATACCACCTTCGGCTACGCCACATACATCACCGGGGACCCTCTATGACGAACCTCAGTGGCCGTTCGGAGGCGGACTTGGGAGCACTTCTCCCGAAAACTATTTCTCGTCCCCCGAAAACTATTTCTCCTCCCCCGAAAACTGTCTTTCCTCTCCGGTTAATTATCTCTCGTCCTCCGATAATTACCTCTCCTCCTCCTCCTCCAACTATCTCTCCTCCCCGGAGAACTATCTTTCTTCGCCGGAAAACTATCCTTCATCCCCTGGGAATTTTATCTCCTTTGATCCCTCTATAACCTCCCCTTCCCCTGCGGACACCCCGGCTTCCGCTACCCCCTCCTCCGGGGATCGGGCCCCACGGACTCCCCCGCAATCACCCTCCCCTCCAGAGCCAAGCCCCCCTCCACTCCCCACACCCGAGCCTTTACAGAAGCCTGACGGCACATGGGCATGTCCTGAGCCCGGGTGTCCCCACCCCGGCCATAAGCGGCGGTGCGATGCAAGAAAACATCATAAGTCGCACACCAAGCCGTACCCTTGCAGGAGGCGGGGGTGTGATTATAGGTCTTCTAACGCGAAAGACCGTGAACGGCACTACGATACTCGACATGCCAAAATCACAGATCATCCCCTGTGTCCTGCTCCGGGTTGTGGGGTTCACAAGAGTCGGGTGGACAATATGCGGGACCACATCCGCAGGAAACATCCGGAGATGGACCATAGGAGTCCGGGGATCTCCGCTCTATACCCCCGCCGCCGTGGCAGAAGATAGTTGCTCCCCTCGAACCCTTTTTAGCTGATAGCTCAGCAATTTCTCATGCCTGATATTGGCATTTCGGTCCTCATTGCCCATGAAGTAGGGATGAATGGATAATCTCTTCCACGTGTTTTATAGGAATCCTTGGTTTCCGGGGGAGCTGGTTATTTGTGATTGGTGAACGACCCTTGTTCACTCTTTATGAAATAATTGACGCCCCCGCATTCTATGGATCTCTCTGAGTCACGTGTGAGAGATTATTTCTTCCAGTGCTGATCGGATGGGAAGGCTAGATCAGCTGGGGGTAATCTGAAGGGTGGAAAGCCCGGCATCTACCCGACTTTTCACTCTGTTTCTTTTGAGTTGGTTCTTGTGCTTGTGTTATGTTTTTTTGGTTTTTTTTTTGGTTTTTGATTTCTTGACTTTTGTTTCCCTTTTCGTTTTGCGCGTTGTAAGGGAGGTTTCTCACGGACCGGAGGTGGAAAAAAAATGACGGTTTCCTTTATTGATTTTGCTTCTCAGAAAATGGCGGAGAAAACAGGGCCTCTTGTGTGAACAATTGGCGGTTCAGGAAAAAAATAATAATGTACTTGCGTGTTTAGTCTTTTGGAATTCAGAAAAAATTGTTTCGCGTCAATGTCAAGTTCCCACCGCCCAAGCCACCAAGCGACGTTTTGTGAAAAAATGGTAATCGGCCTCCTTGTATTCAGTGTCGGTAAATTGGGAATGCAGGAAAAGGCCTCCCACCTTCCTCTGCATAGCTCGAAGGCTACTATGTTGGTGGTAGGGTACACACAGTAGTCGGCGTGCCGAAGAAAAGGTGATGTGATGGCCCTACTTCCGCTCAGGGAGGGGGAAAAGCTTGGAAGAAAGATAAGCGAATACTCACCTTCCTATGCCCGATTATTGGGGCAAGGCTCCGTCCCATCCATACCCACTGTACCATCTAAATAATCCGTAATAAGATTGACTGCGGCAATGTCGATCGACCTCATACTGTCTCCCTCTACCATTTTTCGCGCTAGCGGTGTGACCTATGTTCTTATATCCATCTATGTGGAATGGTGGTAATGTTGTAAAATGTTCGAGGTCGGTGGGTTGACCCTGGGAGCTCTTCTCGGCCCTACCCTCCGAGTGAGAAGCGATGACGAGACTGGGAAATACCCCGACAAAAACCGCCGTGATACTACCGTTAGACGGGGAGGTGGAGAGGAGGGCGGGGCAGCTATACGGGATCCTGCATCATGAGTCGTGGTGCGCCGGGTGGCCGCCCAGGCACTGCTACAACTTGATCATCCTCCCCCCCAGCCCAACCCCGTCATCGACAAACATACGGCAGCGACAAAAAAGAGAAGGGGGAAAAAGCTACAATTAAGGTGAGACCAATACCAAACGCCATGCCAACCCTCAAAACTCCCTTATCCCGCCACCGCGCGTTCTACACTGGAACCATAACGCTCCACCTCCTCTTCATGATATCCTGCTACATCATAGCTCTAGAGTCGAGCATCTCCCCATCGACTTGCAGGTTTCTTCACTCTCCCCCCCAACCTCCCCAGCTCCCCTATACTAACGGAAACCAGTATAAACACGGTCCCGACCGCTGTAACGCTCGTATTCCTCGTGGCGATGGCCTACACCGCACACGACAAGCGCGGAATCTTCCGTGGCTCGCTGGAAAAGTATGGCGTTGCGATCACTGTGCTGTGGTGCGCCATGGTGGGGGTTAACGCTATCTTGATGGGGCGGAATGGTGGGGTCTGTATTGCACTGGTTATTGGGAATACGTTGCGTTCTGTCCTCTCCGCCCTTGTCTGTTTGAAGGGTGGGGGTTGGGCTGACGGGGTGTGTCTAGGATGTTCGGGACGGCTTACTCTTCGTACGGGTTCATGCTACCGGAGCAGCGGGAGGGGGTTTGGTGGGAGGGGGGGTATCTGAGTGGGGAGGGGGGGGTGAGGGCTGTTGGGTGAATTCTGGTGAGTTTTTTTTTTTGGGGGGGGTGCATTTCGTGGCTTTGGGTTGCGGGTTTACTGATTATATATACGTAGATATTTGGCCGGGTGGTTAGCTGTAGGTGTATACTTGTGAGCTCTGATGTTTGTCTGTTTGACTGTCTGGATACTGGATTGTGAAGTCGTTGTCGACAGCCAGGTCTTTGGCTCCATAACGGCGCTGGGCGTGTAGCGAGCGAGCAAACTCGAGCAGGGATTTACTCGTGCTCCTTATAGTATTAGCGATTGCATCATCACCAATCGATACTCTACTATGCCGTTCTTGGGATCGCCTGGCATGTGACTGTTGTGTCATGTGATGGGCGAGATGTAGTGTAATTGTGTGCAGAGTTAGAAAGTGTGCAATAAGAAATTTCTAGGTATTGTACTCGGGTACTCTGTCGGGTATGATACCATATGATGCATCCTTATGATAAGATTGATACCTCCGATCTTGAGCTTTGCTCACATACCAGTTGACAGCACCGCCCGTACCCAGGCTCAATGCGGTCATCACGCTTCGCATTCCTCGTAGACTGTGATAGTGTACCACCCTAACCTTATCTACCAAGCAAAGGGAAACCAAGCCTTCAAATCGGAACTATTACCCGGGAGGGGGGGGGGGGGGGGGCGACAGCACAGCACTTCCCTAGCACTATGGCACCCGTACGAGTACCGTTCATTGCCCTATCCTCACGCCACACGGCTAATCCCCAGTTCAACGCCTACCGTTCTCCCCACAATCCCTTGCAGCGGTAAGTTAAGCGGAAACACCCCACCGACAGTAGACAAATTGGATTTTACCCCACCGGGAAATAGACTACTGCACGGTACTCGTACCTGACACTTCTCAACCATTCCCCGCGCCCAACTCTACGTACCCGAGTATGGAGTGTGATAGGTGAGGGTGGGAGTATCTCACATTCAAGTCAGATCCCACCGCATACACGAGTGGCTGGGAAGTGTGGTAACGAGGGACCCAACTTGAAGTGCTGCTTGTATTTTTACGGTACTCGTAGCTTCAGGATCTGTCAATACACATGGGATTGTGCAATTGTGATGTGGGCAGGATCCGTCCACGGATCCCCGGATCGATCTACGAGTACTAGTAGCATCCTATGCCATTGCATCACACTCGAGCACCGGTACTCGTAGAGTGTAGTAGACATCGCTTCAATATGGTGGAAGTACCGTATGTCCAGAGCGGGATATCAGGGCTCATGTCGTTGGCAGGGCTACTTGTCTACGGGTACAGTACAGTACGGTAATGTAGGACAACAGGCGTTGACGACAATACATGAAAAACCTCAATCTCTCGGTCTCTGAAATACTCTTATAGCTCACCCATCTTACAAGTCCTCGCCTTCACTCTGCTCTGCCAACTCGCGCTGCTCTTCCAACGTAGACTACCGGTAATTGTTCGGAAGGGCCTCGGGGGACGTACTCGTATAGTACGAGGGAGGTGGCACATTTAGGGCACATACGATGGTAAACGCTGTCCTCGCGCTTTAGGATCACAGCGCACCGCTGCGGTGCGCTTGCCGGCACCTTTTGTGGTATCAATACCGGCGATTGTTTGTTGTTTTTGGCAGTGAGATTTTGCTGTGAATTTGCTTGTGGACTATCGTGCCGTACCATAGGCGTGAATTCCCATTTAACTTATACATGGTTTCAAATTCTGCTTACGGGTGGGGACTCTTTTTTTTTTTAGTTATTCTCTCTTGTCGTTGGGCGGTAGTCATTCGTGGCTGCGACTGCTGCGCTTGGGTCGGGGCGATCCTGAAAATGTGCTCTTTTCCGTTGCTACCGTTACTGTACCGTATCATACTCGTATCATACGA